CGGTGATGTGTCTGTCCTCCCCTCCTTTCCCACCAGACCCACACATGAATCAACACACAGGTGACGTTTCCTGTCCAGTGGTGTTCCACTTTCTGCAGACAGTAAGCACTTGGGACAGGGAACTTGGAAAGCTTCCTCTCCCATACGGTGTCACTCTCTTCAACCTGGTGAACTTTCTGCTTGTCGCCTATCAGCTTGTGACTCAGCCTCCTCGGTCTGGTCTCATTTCGCAAGGCAGAGAGAACGGCTGTATGAATAGCCCCACAGCTCAGTGTTAGAGCACCTGCCTTGCAGGTCGTGTTAAAAACTCAGATATATAAGCTAATTGCCAAATGGCACCTTAAACCTAGGTTATGGTTGCCACAACGGTTTTTCTAGGCGCCTTTTATGGTGAAATTTGTTGTTGTTAATTTCATTTCTATACTGCTTTATATTTTAAAAGAAAAAACCTCAAAGCAGCTTACAACACACATCAAATAAAACAAACCAAGTCTTCAAAGAAAACATTTCTGATCCTTCTCTAAGTGACATTTTGTTTCCCCCACATTTCTTTACCTACTTAATTTATAGAGCTGCCCCATAGCAGAAGGACTCTAGGGAGCCAGTGTGGTGCAGTGGTTAGAGCAGAGCTTTCCAAACTGTGTGTCACATGACACATTAGTGTGTCATCTACAGTGTGTAGTTGTGTCACGCAAATGCTCCCTGCGCTCTTATAAGGGGTTAGTTTAACCTCTGGTTTGCTAGTAAAACTGAATTACTGTGTCACGAAATGATGCATGTCTAAAAAGCATGATCAACATGAAAAGTTTGGAAATCTCTGGGTTAGAGTGTCAGACTGGGGCTTGGGAGATCAGGGTTCAAATCCCCAATCAGTCGTGGTGCTCACTGGGTGATCTTGGGCCTACCTCACAAGGTTGTTGTAAGGATTAACTGGGGGGGGAGGAAACATGTAATCCTTGCAGAAAAAAAGTGGGGTATAAATGCAATACATAAGTTCTTCTGCTTACCTGCTTAAGGAAGCTGGAGTGGCCAGCCAGATGGAGATGTCAGTTGCTAACCTGTCATCCAGAGATCTCCATGTGGTTGCAATTGGACCTGCGCCAGTCGCAAAGCACACCTGGCTAATTTCTAACACCACTTGCAAGCAGAAGGTCCCAGCTTCGGGCCCCTGTCATACCCAGGTAGGGTTCCTTGACACCTCCACCTGAAATCCTGGACAGCTGCTGCCAGTCAGTGTAGGCAGCACTGCACAAGATGGGCCAGTGGCCTGACTCCACATTAGGCAGCTTCCTGTGTCCCCTGACCTGCTAGGGGAAATCTCCTTTGCTTTCAGATGCACGTGTCTCCTTAACACCTTGAGGGCTAGAGCCATGCCTTGACTTTTCTTTAAAAGAAGCAGCTGTTGGGTCTGCAGATTGCGGAGGTGTCCTCTTTTCATCTTGGGAGGCCAGGCTCCTGCAGTTCAGCGCTGGGTTTTCCCTGCCTCTCCCGCAGCTTTCCTTGTTTACGTCTTTAGCTCTTTCTCTCTCCCGTCTTTATTTATTGATGGCCAGAGGCCGCAGTCCTGTCGGATTGCATCAAGGAGAAGAGGTGGCAACTCGGTCACCGTGCGGTGCAGAGCCAGGAGCTTGGGGTGGGGGGGAGAGGGGATGCACGGCAACAGGGGGGCGCGTGGCAAACGAGGGCCAGTTCCCAGGGAACGTGGCAGTGCTGCGGTAGGAAGGTATTGCCCATCCGTCCTTGTCAGGGCAGCGTGGTGGATTGGACTGCCTCTCTCCACATGAACGGCTTAGCTTAGGCAGATCTGTGGGGTTGATCGCTGTGTCCCAGGAGGGGAATTCGGGTATCGGAGAGACCGAAAGGCAGAGGCAGGCAGGCAGGCAGTGCTGGAATAGGGATGTTGCCCTCTATGAATTTTAATCCATACTTTGTGGACCCATGTGCTGATTGTGGTACCCTTCCCATTGTGTGTTCTTTTGAACTTTGCTGTACGGTACTCAAGCTGTGCCAAAATAATAATTTTTTATTTATACCCCGCCCTCCCCAGCTCCCTCAGGGCGGCTAACAACCAATAATAAAAACAAGTTGATTAAAATACAATTTAAAAGATTAATATACAACACTAAAACAATTAGAGAGCAATCTCTTCATAGGAGGAGAAAGGAAAAAGAAAGAGGGGGAGGGAATCAAACTGATTCTGAGCCAAAGGCCAGGTGGAACAACTCTGTCTTACAGGCCCCGAGGAAAGAGATCAGATCCTGCAGGGCCCTGGTCTCAAGAGACAGCATTCCACCAGGCCGGAGCCAGAGCTGAAAAGGCCCTGGCTCTGGTTGAGGCTAATCTAACTTCCTTAGGGCCCGGGACCTCTAGGGTGTTGCTATATATGGACCTTAAGGTCCTCTGTGGGGCATACCAGGAGAGGCGGTCCCATAGGTACAGGGGGCCCTAGGCCGTGAAGGGCATTCATTGCGTCCGTCGAAATAATGGGTGCACTTTTTGAACACTGGAAAGCTGCCTTTTGCAGAGTCAGACCAGTTAGCTTGTCCACTGCCTGGCAGTGGCTCTCCAAGGTCTCGGACAGAGAAAGAGGGCTTACCCTGGAGTCTTTTAAATTGGAGGTGCCATCAGGGATGAGCGTGGGGCTTTCTGTGTGCAGAGCAGGTGCTCCACCACTGAGCTGTGGCCCCTTCTGGAGGAAAAGGAGGGTGTTAGTATTAGTGGGCCCATTGGGCAAAAGATTCCTGCATTGCAGGCATCGGACTAGACGACCCTTGCGGTCCTTTCCAACTCTACATTTCTATTCCTTTGAGGCTGTACCAATAGCACAGCTCTATGGTTGAGCCCATGCTTTGCATGCAAGAGGTCCCAATTTCAATTGCTGGCCTTTCCATGTGGGTCTGAAGAGTCCTTGCTAAAGATGCTGCTGCCAGTCAGTGCAGACAGTATTTGGCTATATGGAGCAATTGTCCAACCCTCTGTAAGGCCGCTTCTTATAAGTGTGATGAGTAGCACCAGCATCGGATACAACCCAGAGGGAAAAATATGTTAAACATACCTGCTTCTGCTAGTTGATAATTTATTTTTTTAAAAAATTGAGCTTTTACCGTAATACGATAAAATTAGAGCTACGAAAGATAGAAGAAAAAAATGTTAGCAATCTAACACGATCTGTCTCTTTATTTCTTCTTGATTTTTGGAAACAAGATAATACCAAATATAAGTGCGTGTTCTGCATAGAGAAATGCGGAAATCCTGGAAAGGCTGGCATTGCATGGCTCCTGCTTTTTGGAAGAAAAAGAACAGAATAAAATTCCGTTTTAGTGATATTCAGCTCCCTAAAAGATAGTCAAGGTTGTGAGAGGCAACGACAGGGTGTGGGGGCAGGATCTTTCTTCAGCTGTGCTGCTTTAAGGCTGTTTGGGGATTAGGAGTTCACAGGCCATGTGCACCGAGGGGGGATTCTCTCTAGCAATCTCTCCCTTCCTGCAGCAACCTTTCCTATACTGGATGCAGCTTTGACACAGAGGTGATAGCAGCCCCTGCCAAGTGCAAGGAGGTTCGTTCTTCCTTCCTTTACGGTTGCCTTAAGAGGATTTCTCTCAAATCCTCCCCATAGAGCTTAGCGCTGCTGCCGCCTCTTTCTTAATGGGGGTTGGGAAGCCGAGGGCACGGGAAACACCTCTGCTGCAAGTTGTGAGCAGTCTTTTCGTGGACAGGAAAGGAAGATGAGGACTGGGTGCTGGGCTAGATGGGACATTGGGCTGATCCCGCAGGTCTGCTGTTTATTTTCTTAAACTACAGACCTAATCGTTTGCTAGTAGGTGCTTCCTAACCTGAGCTCGGTCATATTCTTTGACATTTATTTATTTATAAGGTTTCCTCACCTGTCTTTCACCAGAAAGTCCCAGGACAGGTTGCAGTAGATTTATATGCACAGGCAAAAGAATTACAGTTATGAAACACAATGAAACCATTCCGAAATGGGACCAGAAAAGACTTTTTATGTATGCGACAACAGCTGCATGGATGCTACTAGCCCAGGGATGGAAAGGATAAAGAATCTCTATCAGGGAGGAATGGCAAGCTAAGCTGATGGACTATGGAGAAATGGCAAAACTAACTGGAAAGCTCAGGAACCAAGAGGTCAAAAACTTTTTAAAAGAATGGGAAAAATTATAATCTATTATTTAGGAGACCATTGCAAGCAGATTTTAATCTGCTTGCAATGTAACAAATATTATGGACCATACGGATTGATATAGAATATAGCATGGCTAGGCAAACGAAGGCCTGGGGGCCAGATCCAGCCCAATCACCTTCTAAATCCGGCCCGCGGATGGTCCTGGAATCAGCATGTTTTACATGTGTAGAATGTGTCCTTTTATTTAAAATGCATATCTGGGTTATTTGTGGGGCATAGGAATTCGTTCATTCCCCCCCACCCAAAAAATATAGTCCGGCCCCCTGCTGAAAAAGTTTGCTGGCACCTGGAATATAGAATAATACACAGTTGTAAATGCTGACAATAGGATCCATCGACAGTGTGGAGGGAAGGCTCGAGATTCAAAGTAATGTCTATATATGAATAAGCATTTGGATTGTTAAAATTTTATATTTCTAAAAACAAAAATGATTTCATTAAAAAAAACTGTTCCAAAATGGAGCAGATATCCCTTTCTCTCTCTCTTTTTTCTTTCTCTCTGTGCACTGTCTTAGAACCTCAGATATATAAGCTAATTGCCAAATGGCACCTTAACCCTGTGTTACTGTCACCACAATGGAATGTCTAGGCGCCATTTTTAAATGGTAAAATGTATTGGCATTAGTATTAATTTCATTTTTATACTGCTTACAGCTGGTCACAGTTTGCAGGGATAACCTACCTTGCGTTTCGGCACAGGGCCTGTGTTGAAGAGTTTGTTTCTAAGCTCAGGCGGAAGGGGCTCCCTTCGCCCTGTTCGTAAGTGGGTCCTCCTGACAGTGCATAATCTTTCTTTCAGGACCAAAGCAGCCGTCACGCTGAAGCGCCACAGGTAGCCTCGTTCAGGACGGACCCTTCTGGCACTTGACCATTTTGCAGGTGAGTCTCCCGCTCCCCGCATCCAGCAAAAGGGAAGAGTGAGGTGCAACAGGTGGACCCGGAATTGCTAGGAGCCTCTGCCAAGGTGGAAAGCATGGGGGCATCCTTCCCATCTGCGCCATGGGGCGGGCAATGTATTTGTGCATGTGTTTGTTTTGCTTTAACATGTGTATGCCGCTTTTCCAACAACACTAAAACGCCTGCTGAACGCTTCTGTTCCTCCAGGCCTACACAGGCAATTAAGGATACATCCTTCCACAATAGTTAACTGATTTTTAAAAACTATTTTAAGGTTTTATTGTTTGATTTTATATTTTTATTGCCGTAAACCGCCTTAATATAGAAATATTTATATCAACAACTTTGAGCACAACAGTTAAAAATTAGGAAACAACATTGCCGTCGACGTCATCCTATCCAAAAACGGAATAATATGTAAGTAAACCGGAAATAAGGGACGCTGGTGGCGCTGTGGGTTAAACCACAGAGCCTAGGACTTGCCGATCAGAAGGTCGGCGGTTCGAATCCCCGTGATGGGATGAGCTCCCGTTTCTCGGTCCCTGCTCCTGCCAACCTAGCAGTTCAAAAACACATCAAAGTGCAAGTAGATAAATAGGTACCACTCTGGCGGGAAGGTAAACGCCGTTTCTGTGCGCTGCTCTGGTTCACCAGAAGCGGCTTAGTCATGCTGGCCACGTGACCTGGAAGCTGTACGCCGGCTCCCTTGGCCAATAAAGCGAGACGAGTGCCGCAACCTCAGAGTCGGTCACGACTGGACCTAATGGTCAGGGTTACCTTTACCTAAAGCGGAAATAAGCCGTCCAGTGAGCGATTAATGCAGCTCATGCAAATGCCTAAAAATTCAAAAACAATTTAAAATATACGGCACCTGTTTCTCATGCCTCAATATTACTGTGGTGGTTGCATTGGAGAAGCAGAAGAAAATAGGAGCTGAGGTTGCATCCTCCCTGAAACCTGAAACAGATCACATCCTCCGAGTCTCATTTAAAATAGCTTCCTTCATCGCTCCTCCACTACCAGTCTGAGTGAAGGGACAGGGGACCCATAATATTTTGCTTGACTCTTCTTGTTGGTTGCTTTGAATTCCGAGGCATCCTCCACAAGCAAAAAAATTTTTTGCTGATGCCTGAGTAGCACCAGCACAACTCAAAAAATCCCACTTTTCTCTGGTCGTCTACCTGAATTCAAACAGTGGTGTTGGTAGTGAGATATAAGGGGGAGCCTTGGGCTGATGAGTTTATTGTTCAGGCATGGCTCATTTGGTATTGGGAAGTCCAAGAACATTGGATAATAATACATGGTTGATCTAACGTGAGCGATGCACTTAGAGCAACCTCCGCACAATCTTGGGCTCATCCAGATGTTTTGGGCTACATTTCTCATCAGCTCCAGCCAGCAAAACACCTGGAGGGACGAGGTTATTAGGAGGCTGACTTAAGTGATGTGGTCGCTCTTTATAAAGGAGTCACAATAGCTTCGCCAACTCCTGACCTAACTTTCTCTCTCTCTTTCGTCACTCCAACAGTGGAATACCGGAAACGCGCAAATCTGGGTTTGAAGCTATGAGCTCGGTAGCAGTGTTAACACCCGAAAGCTTTGCTGAGCACCGCAGCGGGCTGAGGGATGAAGAAACACGAGGTGAGATGGGCAGGAATCTTTTGGTGTGGGTGTGTCGTGAGGCTGCTGCTCACACAATGAATGAGATGCGTGTCTGTTGATGGGTAAGTAAGGCTGGGTAAAAGCTAGAGTGGAATCCACTGGCGGAACTGATAAACCAACATGCTCTGGAAAGGTAAATATTCAGACACCGGTAGAAGAAGCTTTCACTCTTCCTGGGACACTTTTGTTACCGGCCCTAAAGTTGTCATTCAGAAGGGAGACTCCAGGGTCAAGTTGCTCTATTGAAGCTTGTCAAAAGTTCAGTTCTATCTTCTGTGTATTGAATCAAAATAATGGCTTCTTATCCCACTACAAGTGCCTTATTGGCTAACCAATGGCAGGGTGCTTTGTGCTATCAGCAACATTGGCTTGTAAACAGCCGGCTGCACTTACTTTACATAATATATTTCAAGCTTGTGGCATGATGGTCACAATCCGCTTTGCATTTCATTCCCCTGTGGACCTCGCTGCTTAATTTTTGTTTTACTCTACATCACTGTGTGCATTTACTCCTGCCAACTGAGGTTTATACTTCACTTGCAGACATTGCTCGGGAATTCTAATACAGTGGTACCCCACAAGACGAACGCCTCGGAAGACGAAAAACTCGCTAGACGAAGGAGCTTTTCGTTTTCTTAGCCGCTTCGCAAGACGCATTTCCCTATCGGCTTGCTTCGCAAAACGAAGCTTGCCCCGCAAGCTCCGGGGATAGCGGGGAAGTGCAGTGCGTCTTCCCCTCTGTCCCCGGGCCCCTTTTGAACCAAGGGGCGGCAACGGGGAGAAGCAATCTTCTCCCCGCTGCCCCTTGCTTTAAAACAGGTCCGGGGACAGAAGGGAAGGCGCGCGGCACTTCCCCTCTGTCCCCAGATGGTCTCCATAGGAACGCATTGATTGATTTTCAATGCATTCCTATGGGAAACCGTGCTTCGCAAGACGAAAAACTCACAAGAAGAAAAAACTTGCGGAACTAATTAATTTCGTCTTGCGAGGCACCACTGTAAACCAAAAAATCAGTGCAGTTTTGAAAGGTTCCATCTGCCTTATTGATTAAAAGTGGTGTATGATTGCATCCAAGCATAGATGAAAACCTGCTCATTGATCTCAAGAATCATCGCACAAAGTTTGGTGTCCAAATACATCACAGAAAAGCCCCCTCCCCACCCCCACAAAAACCAGAAAGCATCCAAAATGAACCCCAAAACAAACCTGTATCTCAAGATGCTGTGAAAATGAAGCTTTTATTTTCAAAGCATCACAATGCTTCTTTTGGGGGGGGGTCACATGGAGAAAACAGCCTTAGGAGATAATATCTGTTAGATATTACCTCCCATTTGCAAGTTCATGTGAACAGGAGATACTGTACATCTGGCTTGCAAGATCTCTGCAGGCTGTTTTTCGATTTGACCCCTGAAGCAGCGCCTTTAGGCAATAAGTGGCTGAAACGACGTTGGGCTGTTTTGAAAACAACATCCTCATTTTCACAGCATCTTCAGATGCTGCCTCTTTTGTTGCTGGGTTCAAATGCACAGTGAACAGACAACTTTCCAAAATATAGAGTAGATGCATCTGATTAAGTGGTCTCTAGTCCTCAAAGTAATTTGATCAGAAGCCTGGGTGCGTCTTCTCTGTTGCCTGCACAATCCCTTCTCTAAACCAGGATTTTTCTCTCCACCCTCGTGTGTGATCTTGCTGTCTCTTTCTATGTTTGTCTGCTGGGCAGGTGGTGTCCCAGAGGATGAGGCCTACATCCCCACTTACTTGGAAGCCTTTCCGCCACTCCCAGAAAAGGGAGCCCCCGGGGAAAAGTCCAGTGAGCTTACGGGAGTATGGAACAAAATCCGGCCTATCAAATCCTCTGTCATCACCCAGGTGAGTGTGCAGAGGCAGGGCACAGGGAGTTCCACTTCAGCTGCTGGCGTGTCTTTGCAGAATACCTTGTGTGTGTGTGTGTGTGTGCAAGGGACAGAGAGAGGCTTCCCTATGGGAGATGTTAATTGTGAAGTGTTTGTCTCATGGCTGGATGCATAGCCAAAATAATCAGCAGTTCTAGAAAGATGGTTTTGAACTTGGAAGCAGTAAAGCTGAACTGAAGTACTTGTGTTGCCTCGCTCAAAACCAGTGTCTTGGATGTACGCTAGGCGAAGGATTGGCAGTGACTGTGCGAAAAAGCCTCTGCATCCTTCTCTTATTAGGAGAGCATTGTCATGGTTGTTCTGTCTCACCTCCAGTATCCGAGGCCTCTGGGTACCAGTTCAGAGAGGATGAGCAGGAAAGTCCTGTTGTGCTCCTATCCTGCTTTGATAGCTCAGTTGATAGAGCATGAGACACTTAATCTCAGGGTCGTGGGTTTGAGCCCCAATTAGGCAAAAGGATTCCTGGATTGCCGGGGGTTGGACTAGATGACCCTCATGGCCCCTTCCAACTCACGGTAGCTCCTTGTAGGCTTCCCAGTAGCAACTGGTTGGCCGCTGCAATAACGAGAATGCAGGACTAGATGGGCCTTTTGGTGTCCCAGCAAAGGAAGAATGGATACAAAAACTTACGCAATATGCAGAAATGGCGAAACTTACTGGAAGAATAAGAAACCAAGATAACGTTCTTTTATTATAAAAGAATGGAAACTGTTTCTTGACTATTTACAGATAAATTGTAAACAGATAAGAACATTGGCAGGATTATTGTAATAACCTGCAGCTTCATAAGAGTATATATTTAAAGAAGATGAGTAAATGAGCGAATCAAGTTAATTTGGATATGCAGAAGATATTAAAAATTTAAGGAACCGCAGAAAGTGGGGGAAGGAAGTCAATCTTTGAAATGTCAAAATCATTGTAAAATTAGTGAAATGTACAAACCTGAAAAGTATATTTAAAAAAAAATTTCGCATTCATCCAGTTAAGTAGATTGAAAATGGAGGGAGAGGCAAGCAAGCAAGAGAAACTGCTCCATGCTACATTAAATTAATGTGTGGAACCCTCCACGGTTGGCTTTGAAAGCAGATTGCACATATTTATCTATTGCCTTTATATCTCACTTCTCTGTGGAGCTCAAAGTGGATGGCGTGGTTCTCCTGCTGCCCCTCCTTTTAATCCCCACAACCACCCTGCGAGGTGGGTTAGGCTGAGAGGGAGTGACTGGCCCAGCGTCACCCAGTGAGCTTCACAGCCAAGCGGGGAATTGAACCCTGGTCTCCCAGGTTCTAGTCCAGCACTCTTAACCGCTGTACCACACTGGCTCTCATGCAGGATAGATGTTTGCAAGTAGCCATTGGCGGGCTGAGAGCTAAACAGAACCTCCCGTGTTCTGAGGCACTGCCCCATGCCATGTGCAGGAGGACAACGGGGGCATTTATGCCTAGTCTGTGGGCTTATTACCAGGAAATGCCTGGTGGGCACAGAGAGAAGCGGGATTCTTTCTTGGATGGGCCTTTGATCCGGTCCAACATTACCTGCTTTTGCACTTGGAAATAGACATTTTGCAGCATATAGACCCGGCCCTTCGGGTGTTCCTTCCTTGGCAGGTGTTTCACGTCCCCCTGGAAGAGCGACGCTACAAGGACAACAGCCAATTCGGAGAAGGTGACGAGGCCAAGGTGTGCGTGGACATCATGCAGAAGACCGGGGCTCATATTGAGCTCTCCTTGGCCAAGGACCAGGGCCTGTCCATCATGGTGACCGGCAAACTGGACTCCGTCATGAAAGCTCGGAAGGAAATAGTCGCTCGGCTTCAGACCCAGGTGCGTGCAAAGCCCTTCCACCCCAGCGACACTCGCTTTCCTGCAAGCGGCTATTATTCTGTGAACTGCCCTGAGGTCTTTCGATGAAGGGTGGGATATAAATGTAACAAATGAGTAAGGCAGCTCCCTGTGTTTCTGTATCAAGCAGCCCTTGTTAAAACAGCATTTGAAAAACCCAGTAAAGCCGCTGTCCTCTCCCCTTTCCACAGGCTTCAGCTACTGTCACAATCCCCAAGGAACACCATCGCTTTGTGATCGGCAAGAACGGCGAGAAACTACAGGAGCTCGAGCTGAAGACGGCCACCAAGATCAACATCCCGCGGCCTGAGGACCCCAGCAACCAGATCAAGATCACGGGCACCAAAGAAGGCATCGAGAAAGCACGGCACGAGATCTTACTCATCTCGGCAGAGCAGGTGAGCCGGGGGGAAAGAGTCACAACTCCCCCAAAGGTGGAAGGTAGCGGGAGTGGGAAACAGTTGCGCAAGAGACTTCTGATGGCCTGCCTCGCGGCTTCTCCTCTTCGATTTAAAACCAGCAAGCAGGTTTTTGCAGTGGACTCTGGCACGCTGCATTCCATGGCTAGAGCAAGCCGCCCAACAGAAGATCTGGAATTTTTGCGGCTCTAGACACAACATGGAGGGGTTTTATGCAGGGCACAATATTGTGCAGCTGGGTTTTATTGATAAATCTGGGATACCAGCTTCAATGGGGTATTTTGGGAAGGCTGGGAAAGGGTTCTAGCCACAATGGCTATCTTTCCCCTTGGCTGTCAGAGACAGTTTGCCTTGGAGGTACCCATTCCTGGTGATTGCAAGCAGGAAGAGCGTTGCTGCATTCTGTCCTTCTTGCAAGTTTCCCATAGGTTGACCACTGTGACAACTAGGATGCTGAGCTATTTGCGTTTATTTTTGTGGGAATGTTGAGGAAAGTAGGAGAGCATATATTGATTAAATATTATCCCTCCTCACTCACGCTAGTGAGCAAGCAGCAGAGCACATTCCTGTGCACATGGCTCGAAGCTTGTTGATGGATTCGTTAGAATCATTTAAGCCAAGCAATCCAGCCTGGCTTGTCCAGTCTATCTTGTTCCTGGTAAGTTTCCCCTTTTATTTCCCTCTGGAATCATAATAACACGGCAGTCTTGATTAAAAATAAGAGTAAAGCCTACTTACATTCAGTCCACCGTAGTATTTTGAAGACAGGCTTTATCTTGTGATTACAGTTACATTTGTAGAGAAAAGAAGTCTGAGCTTGGCCTCAGACTTTTTACCTTGTGGCTTCCATCCTCTGTAAGGAAAGAGCAAAAGAGGAAGATGGCTGTGTGACCAGCCCTTTTATAGGCTCTGCCAGGGTCACGCCCATCTGTCTGGTCACATACAGGGGGAGGATGCTTCAGACAGGTGTGACAAGAAGTCCTCCTGGCTGGAGTAAAATCCCCCTGTGTGTCCACTCTGGGCAACAGGAAGTGTTGCATTTGACTGCTTCAGTGATGATACATCCCACAGTTTTCAGGTTGATGCATGATACCGTTTATTCAGAACGCCTAAGTAGAATAGATTAGCTTTTCGTGTGATCCAGCCAAGGCTGCTCTCTGGGCTCTGTGTATCGGCCTTGACTGCATTTCATGGACAGGAGCTTCTGTATCCCAGCTCCCTTCTTCAAAAGGAAGCTCATAGCGGGGAAAAGAAATCAGTCTTGGGTGATTATCTGAAAGGGGAAAGTATACAGTGAGCAATTCACCTCCCCGTTATTTCCAGGAGAGGGGCTGAATAGTGAAGAACTGAGGCTTGATCCACAGGTTTTGGGTATACCAGGCCAGGGCAGCCTGTGATCAAGCAGAGGTTGTTCCTCTTCAGGTGGGTCAGCAGGTTTCCCTTTGTGTTCCAGGATAAGCGGGCCGTGGAGCGCTTGAACCTGGAGAAAGCCTTCCACCCTTTCATTGCTGGAGCCTTCAACAAGGTGGTCCAGGAGATCATGCAGGAGACCGGGGCTCGCATCAACATCCCGCCGCCCAGCGTCAACAAAGACGAGATCATCATCACCGGCGAGAAGGAGCCGGTGGCCCAGGCACTCCTGCGGATCCGCAAGATCTACGAGGATAAGGTGGGTGGGTTTGCCTGTTCCAAGAAACGGCATTAACGGCACTTTGACAGAAGCACCAAAGCTGTAGAGAGCTCTGTCGCTTAGCGTTTTAGCTGGCAGCTTCTGTAAGAAAGGGAGTGTCAGCTACATCAAGCAGCCCCTTTGAGTGCAGGTGGTCCCGGCGCTGCCTGGGCGGATGGGAGTGACAGGCCAAGACATCTAGTGGGCACCAGGTTGGCAAAAACCTGCCCTAAAGAAATCAGTGGCCACTTCTACATGCACTTCCTACATGAAATGGGTGGATTTGGGGCCGTCACCTCCTGAAATTTGCAAAGGAGCAGCAGAAAAAAGAAACATTGCTTTTTTTTGAGAACGTGCATGTGTGTTGCAGCAGAAATCCAATTAAAAGCATTTCCTCACTGTTGACTGGAGGGAATGCACCTTTGGAAATGGCGCTTGCAAGGTGCAGGAGAAAAATCTTCCCCCTCGTTAAACAGGGACACCAGAATGCTTATAACTTCCTGTGAGCCATTTAACAAGATAAAGTAGGGTTGGGAAGCCCATGATAATAATAATAATTTTATTATGTATATCCCTCCCATCTGGTAGGGTTTCCCCAGCTACTCTGGGCAGCTCCCAACAGAATATTAAAAACATGATAAAACATCAAACATTAAAAGCTTCCTTAAACAGGGCTGCCTTCAAATGTCTTCTGAAAGTCAGATAGTTGTTTATTTCCTTGACATCTGATGAGGGGGCATTCCACAGGGCGGGCACCACTACTGAGAAAGCCCTCTGCCTGGTTCCCTGTAACATCACTTCTTGCAGTGAGGGAACTGCCAGAAGGCCCTTGGTGCTGGACCTCAAGTGTCCAGGCTGAACGATGTGGGTAAAGACGCTCCATGATCCTTCTGCTGTTTCTGGGCTGCAGCACCCATCATCCCTGGCCCATGGTCTATGTTGGGTGGGGTTGATTAGTGCTGGAGTCTGCACACAGCACCTGCAGGGCCGCCACCACCCCATTTGCGGGGTTAATGCCTCAGCCCTAATTTTTACCCTATTCCTGAGTGCAGTGCGGTCAGCCGCCCCAACTTGGTTTGGCTGGATGAGCGGGGAAGGTTTGGTAGTAGCTGCTTTCCTCTGGCCTTGCCGGGAGGCTTTTGGCGGCTTTTCTCGTTTCCATGCTGTGAAGCAGCTGCCACTCCCTCCCGCTCCCTCTCTCTCAGAAGCGCAAGACGACCACAATCTCGGTGGAGGTGAAGAAGTCCCAGCACAAGTACATCATCGGCCCCAAAGGCAACACCCTGCAGGAGATCCTGGAAGCCACCGGAGTCTCAGTAGAGATGCCGCCCCTGGAAAGCAGCTCGGAAACAATCATCCTCCGAGGGGAGCCCGACAAGCTGGGTCCCGCTCTGACTCAGGTCTACGCCAAGGTAAAGGGCTCCGAGCATCTGTGTTGGACCGCCCGGTCCTCTTTATGTGCAGTTTGGACCAGGTTCTCAATGTGGGCCACCTGAACACCAAGAGGGGATTGACTGCACCACTAAGGATATTCAAGAAGGTGCATCTGTAGTGGCTTGGCAGTTTTATTGCTGTTGCAAAAAAAAGGCCTTTACCATTTCTTTTAAAGCAAGTTTATGTAATCGGATTTTTTTGTTTTGTTCCTTGCAACCATGTAGGTCTTAAAAAGCACCTAATGGGAATTGTCTTACGCAACTGTAGAGAGTAAACTTCTCATAGGAGGCTCTTTGCTCCCCCGTCTCTGTCCAAAATAAGCTTTTACTTAGCGGAGTAAAAGAAAAATAATGGTGCCGTTCAAGAGACTGCACCTGGTCTCTCTTTTATCGCAGGTTTTAGACCTGTGTTGGGATTTATTTACAGTCTTACCTTGGTTTTTGAACAGCTTAGTTCTCAAACCCGGAAGTGAGTGTTCCAGTTTGCAAACGATTTTTGGAAGCCGAACATCCGATGCGGCTTCTGATTAGCTGCAGGAGCTTTCTGCAGCCAATCAGAAGCCACACCTTGGTTTCCGAATGCTTTGGAAATTTGAACGGATCGGATTCCATTCGAGAACCAAGGTACAACTGTATTTAGTATTTATGCAGTTTCTATACAGCCCTTTATCCAAAGATCCCAGGGTGGTGTACAACATTAAAAACACATTTTATGGAGCATTGATAATAAAAACATAATAAAAAGCATAATAGTCATAATAATAACAAAATCCCACCCACCCACTCACAGCTTTAACAGGCCATAGATTATTTAATGGCCAAAGACCTGGGTAAAGAGGAAAGTTTTTGCCAGGCACCCAAAGATGGCGCCAGGCGAGTCTCTCTGGGAAGATCATTCTACAATCGGAGAGCCACCACAGAAAAGGCCCATTCTCATGTTACCACCCTTCAGACCTCTTGGAGGTATTTGTGTGTGTCTACATAAAGAAGGGTCTCAGATGACAAGCACAGGGTCCAGGTTGGTTTGTATGGGGAGAGACTGTCCTTTCTGAGGAGTACAGTGGTGCACCGCAAGACGAATGCCTCGCAAGACGGAAAACCCGCAAGACGAAAGGGTTTTCCGTTTGCGAGTTGCTTCGCGAGACGAATTTCCCTATGGGCTTGCTTCGCAAGAAGAAAGCCCATAGGGAAATCTCCGGGGACCTCGTTTAAATGCTAGCGGTGGGGAGCAAAGCCTTTTCCCCCCCTCCGGCCTTCAGAAGAGGTCCAGGAAGGCCGGCGGGGGCCGAAAGGCTTTGCTCCCCACCGCCAGCATTTTAAAAGCAGTCCGGGATAGCAGGGAAGCGCTTCCCGCTATCCCGGACGGCTTTTGAAGGCAGGCGGCGGGGGGGAGCAAAGACTTTTGCCCCCCGCCGGCCTTCAGAAGAGGTCCTGGGACCTCTTCTGAAGGCCGGCGGGGGGGCAAAAGTCTTTGCTCTCCCCTGATCTCAGCGCGCGCAGGCTTCGCATGCTGGCAACTCTCCGCAAGCAGCGGGAGCGCTCCCGCTTGCTTGCGGAGAGGTCCGCGAAGGCCTGTCCCGGACAGCCTTTGAAGGCTCCCCCTGCCTGCCTTCCCAGGGGCTTTAAAATCGCCCCGGACAGCGGAGAATTGATTTTCAATGCATTCCTATGGAAACCGTGCTTCGCAAGACGAAAAACTCGCAAGAAGAAAAAACTTGCGGAACGAATTAATTTCGTCTTGCAAGGCACCACTGTATTATTACATTTATATACCACTTTTTTCTTCCAAGTAGCTCAAGGTGGTGTGCATGGTTCCCCTCCCCATTTCATCCTCACAACAACCCTGTGAGGTAGTTTAGGCCAAGAGATGGTGACTGGCCCAAGGTCACCCAGTGAGCTTCGCTGCTCAATGGGGATTTTGAACCCTGTTCTCCCGGGGATGCTGAGTATTGTGACTTGAGATGGATGTTTGAAACGGTACTGTGGCGGCACCTAGAGACAGAACGCAGTCATTGCTGCGCTAGAACAGGTGAAATCTGGAGAGGCTATGTGTTTAAAAGGGGGAGGGAAAAAAACCTAGCATGCCAACCTGGTCTCAAGGGAAACTGTGATTTGACCACAAAACTCTGCCTCTTCTCTCACCCCACCAGGCGAAGAGTGTGATGGTAGCTGAAGTAACCGCCCCAGCCTGGTTACATCGTTTTATAATTGGAAAGAAAGGACAGAACATTGGCAGGATCACCCAGCAGCTTCCGAAGGCAAGTATCGCTCGTGCAAGAGACTGGAGTAGTCGGGGTGAAACCGCATGTCTTTTCGCCGTGATTCCATTTCAATACGCGACGTATGATCCCTGTAGCCCAAGGAAGAGCTGGGTGTGATACCCAAGTAGCAAGACGTGGGCTAGGTTGGGCTGCTAGGAGGCTTGGTTTGGGTGTTCTGATAAGCCTGTTTGACGGATAGAAGGGGCAGCTAGCAAACAAACCTGCAAGTTACTAGTCCACAAGTTTTTACTACGTGCCCCACCCGTTAGACCAGGGCCAGTCACTAGTGGCGTACTGCTGGCCTCAAGGAGCAAGATTTAAGACTATAAGGAGAATCCTGCTGTATCAAGCGAAAGGCCTACTTAATCCATCATCCTGTTACTCGCAGGATTCAACCACACACCTCTGGGAAGCCCACAAGCAGGTTGCTCTTCCCCAGGGGTTTCTCCAGCAGCTGATAACGGAGGCATCTTCTAATACTAAAGGTAGCATGTAGCCATCACGGCTAGTAGCTTTTGCTAGTCTTTCATGGGGGATACTCGTCTAATCCCCTTTTTAAAGCTGTCGAAGTCAGTGGCCGCCCCTGCATTGTGTACCAGCAGATTCCATAGTTCGACTACATGTTGTGTGAAGACGTTCTTCCTTTTGCCCATCCTTTTGCCTATTCAGCTTGTATTTTAGCATCGTGAGGTGGTCACCTGGAGGCAATGACTACTCGCCGCAGGAGAGTGGCAGTTTGCCAACCTGCCTTAGGCACGCAGGACATAAGAGATGCCTTTGGGGGATTATAACAACACACAACAAGATGGAAGAAGTAAAATATTGAGATCACACATGGGTGAAGGGGAGTGGGGGGGTATATGGGAACCTATAATATCATTTATAATATGATTTGCTAATTGCGTTGTATTTACATATAGCAAAGGGAAGCCTAGAGCAATTAGATATATTTTAATTTAGGTAATCTATGCAATAGGCTTAGGGACGCGGGTGGCGCTGTGGGTAAAACCTCAGCGCCTAGGACTTGCTGATCGTCAGGTTGGCGGTTCGAATCCCCGCGGTGGGGTGCGCTCCTGCTGCTCGGTCCCAGCGCCTGCCAACCTAGCAGTTCGAAAGCACCCCCGGGTGCAAGTAGATAAATAGGGACCGCTTACTAGCGGGAAGGTAAACGGCATTCCGTGTGCTGCGCTGGCTCGCCAGATGCAGCTTGTCACGCTGGCCACGTGACCCGGAAGTGTCTCCGGACAGCGCTGGCCCCCTGCCTCTTAAGTGAGATGGGCGCACAACCCTAGAGTCGGACACGACTGGCCCGTACGGGCAGGGGTGCCTTTACCTTTATGCAATAGGCTTATGTTAGAAAATGAATATGGATTTTGAATTTGACGTTTGCAAATATTTTTTTGGTTTTGAAATAAAAAATTTAAACTTTTTGAAAAAAGATGCCTTTGGGGGGATACTTGGGTCATGTTTTTTTTCCATTAGGCATATCAGAAGTTTATTTGCTTGTCCCTTTTCAGGTTCACATCGAATTCACGGATGGTGACGAGAAGATCACGCTGGAAGGACCCACCGAAGAGGTGGAGCTGGCTCAGATGCAGATCCAGGAGATTATTCGGGACCTGGTGAGCCGCTGCAGCTTCTTGCCGCAGAGTTGTCTGTTGCTGGCCCAGTCAGAAAGCATGAACCAAAATCCCACCATCTTGTGAAAAAGTTCACTTCCACAGGAGCCCCCTAGCATAGAGTGGGGCTTGGTATATTGAGAGCTAAGATGATGATAATGAAAATAATTTATTAATACCCCGCCCATCTGGCTGGGTTTCCCCAGCCACTCTGGGCAGCTCCCAACAGAATATTAAAAACACGATAAAACATCAAACATTAAAAACTTCCCTAAACAGGGCTGCCTTCAGATGTCTTCTAAAAGTCAGACTTAGTTGATCTCTAAGGTGCTACTACGGGACTTGGGTGGGGATGTGGGTTAAACCACAGAGCCTAGGACTTGCCAATCAGAAGGTCGGCGGTTCAAATCCCCGCGACGGGGTGAGCTCCCGTTTTTCAGTCCCAGCTCCTGCCAACCTAGCAGTTCAAAAGCACATCAGAGTGCAAGTAGATAGATAGGTACCGCACTGGTGGGAAGGTAAACGGTGTTTCCATGCGCTGCAAGATGAGCACCGCAACCCGAGAGTCAGCCACGACTGGACCTAATGGTCAGGGGTCCCTTTACCTTTACCATTAAGGTGCTACTGGAAGGAATTTTTTTATTTTGTTCTAAAAGTCAGTTGTTTATTTCCTTGGCATCTGATGGGAGGATATTCCACAGGGTGGGGGTGGGGGGTAAATAAGATGCCCCCCATTAACATATGAGATGGAAACTGAATCTGTTAAGAAGCCTTAGGGATATAATTAGATTATTATTTTCTAACTGCCCTTCCCAAGGTGGGTTCCAACAGTGCAGTTATAAAAGCAGATAAAACCATTCCTGACAGACAGGTTAGGAGAATGCTGAGAGTAGACCGGGCAGAAATAGCATCAATTCTTTTCTGCGAGGGAGTCCATATCTCCAGAGGGCACAGTAGAATTGCAACAGAGCCACTGTGGGCGGAGGCCACGAGGTGAGCTCACCATCTTCTCTTTCCCTCCTGCCCTCCCAAAAATATTCCTTTGCAGCTCGGCCGAATGGACTACACCGAAGTGCTCATCGATCAGCGGTTCCATCGTCACCTGATAGGGAAGAATGGAGGCAACAGTGAGTGCTGGTGTGCCAACACAAGTGCTGGGCAACTTGTCTTGGAGAAGTTGCGGTGGGTAGCGGCTGTGTGACAATTGAGGACACCTGCCAGGCAATGTTTGCAAAGGTTTGGTGCTGGCCTCTGTCTCTGATCCTGCCTGTCTCTCTCTGCCTCTCTCTTTTTCCCCCAATTTTTTATATTAATTTTCCACATTTTTAAACAAACAAACAAGCACAAATCATAGCTGAACTTGATCCAAAATTAATATCATAGTAATCCTGCCTGTCTCTCTCTCTCTTCCCTTCTACCTGCTGCCAGTCAACCGCATCAAGGAACAGCACAAAGTCTCCGTCCGCATCCCGCCCGACAACGAGAAGAGCAACCTGATCCGGATTGAGGGAGACCCGCAAGGGGTTCAGCTGGCCCGCAAGGAGCTGCTGGAGATGGCTGCTCGCATGGTAAGGGAGAGGCCAGCATCTCGGCTGGTACCCTCGTCTCTTGCTTCGTCTCCCCAGGCTGGAGTTAGGATGGAAGAAGAAGAAGGAGCCAATCAGGAAGAGGGAAGGGGAGATTGGAAGGGGAAATGCATGGCAGTGGGAGGGGGTGAGGTTGGAGGGGTGAAGAAGATCTTATTTGGTGGGGGGCGGAGATGGAGGGCTAATAGCTCAGTATTCATTCTTTCAATTTGTATCCCGTCCACCTCCCAAAGGAGCCCAGTCCAGCAAACACATCTATATTTATTTTTATTTTACTTTTATTTTATTTTGATAATAATTTTATTAGTTTTCAATTACAGTCCAATAACAGCCTTGTTTTTAACACTGCCAAATTATAATACATTTACTAATACCAATCGTTCAGATACTGAATTATATAATTTAGGTGCCACCCTGCCCCTCCGCATGCTAGAGTTGATGGTTTTCTTTATTTCTGCGTTCCAAAATCTTACTAATTTCTATTACATTCCAGTCAAAATAATAATCCTTTATACAACAACTGCTATATTATTAACATCTATTCACGTTAACACTTTAAATGATTTATAAAACAACAAGTGAGGCACTCAAACTATATCCTTGTTCTTCCTGTGTGTGGCAATTATTCTCTCTGTGATGTTTCTTCCTGTCCTTGTAAAATGTGATTTCTATTTCTGTTTTAAAGAGAATCCTAAAAATTGTTCTAAAATATACTCTCAGCTTGAAGAGATGCCATGAACAGTGACTTTCAGACATCAAACGCCTGGGTCAACAGGGATGCTTTTAGATTCCTTCTGGGAGTCCCTTAAGGAGGGTGGCAGACGCTTCGCATCAGGGAGGGTGTTCCACAAATGTGGAGCCATCACTGAAAAGGCCCTGTTGGTAAATTTCCAGCCACGCATCACCCCCACCAAGCCCTCGCTGATTGTCAGCGCTGATTGTCAGCTTCTGCCAAAGCAGGCAAGATTAGACTAAATTTGAGCAGTGATCTGGCTCCATGCAAACCAGAGCCTCTTAAAGTGGAAATATTCTGCCTTCCGTAGGGTCAGAGCAGCACAGAGCGAGGTGCATTGGTTGGAAAGTTGGGCTTAGGAACTGGGAGAGCAGGGTTCAAATCTCCAGCTCACTAGGGTGACCTCAGACCAGCCACCTCCCCTCAACCCGAACCCTACCTTGCAGGGTCGTTGTGAGGTTGGAACGGGGAGGGTGGAGAAACGTGTATTCCACCTTGAAGCTCCTTGAAGGAAGGGTGTGATAGAAATGTATCCAATAAAAGAAAGGGAAAAAATACGACAGATAAAGGAGGCGGGACTCTGGGTGCTTCTTCGTGGATCCCCTCCCAGAATCTTTTGCACAAGGACAGTGCTTGTAGCAGCCCCATTGAGCAGGAAGGAGTCTCTCTCAGGGCGGATGCAGCTGACTGGTTGTGTGGGCTTCTGTCCTAGGAAAACGAACGCACAAAGGACCTCATAATCGAGCAGCGCTTCCACCGGACCATCATTGGGCAGAAAGGCGAGAAAATCAAGGAGATCCGTGACAAGTTTCCTGAGGTAGGAAAGAAAAATCATTACATTTATATATATTTTTGTCTTGAAAGTCTACTCAATATTGATCCAGAGTAGATTCCCATGTATAGTTATCAGAGTGAAAACTTAAACACGCTGCAGGATTCCCAAAAAACGGACCAGAGGCAATTAATATTTCATCCAGCAGAGCTTTACTGCTACTTAAGGCAAATGAGCATAACGGTCACAAATCCAATACATTCAGGATTGGCACTGTCCATAAGAAATCCAGGTTATTTATGTATGCCACTTCTGCGGCTCGTGTTTTGCTAGCCCAAAAATGGAAAACGAGCAAAGTCCCAACTAAAGAAGAATGGCAACTTAAACTGATGGAATAGCTTGCGGACTTAACATATAGAATAAGAGAACAAAAAGAACAAGAAGAACATATGTTTAAAGAAGATTGGAAAATGTTTATTGAATATATGGAGGAAAATTGTGTTTATTTGAAAACTTGGGCAGCATTAAGATAAATTCAACAGTGTAAATAAGTTTTGGTGGATGTAATAATGGAATACTGAATTGTTTAGTATATATAAAATATGCAGGGATGTATGTTGTGCAATGAACCATGGAAAGAGAAGAAAGGAAGTCATTGATATTATAAGGATGCTTAAATGAGTATTCAAAATTGTAAAACTGAAAATTTAATAAAAATTATATATATGAACGAAATGCAGTGGAACCTTAGGTTATGGCGGGGATCCGTTCCGGAGGCCCTGCCGCAACCCGAAAATGATGCACATCGAAGCGACGCGTCTGCACATGCGCGAGTGGTGAACCCGGAAGTAACCTGTTCCGGTACTTCCGGGTTTGCTGCAGACGTTCGCCGAGGCGGACGCAGAACGAGGTTTGACTGTAGAGAAGTATGGGCAATACCTGTTTGAAGGTCAGAGGATAAGGACTCGGCACTCTTTGTTATAACTCATTGTTGTGCATGGAGAGAGGAAAGCCGAGTTAAATATGCAAAGCAACTTGTAGCTGCTGTGATTGCCTTACCCTGCACAATCTCCAGAGTTGCATAGCAGCTTAGAAGCTCACCTTTTTAACTCTGTCCTCATTTAATCCCTCCGCACGAAAGAAGGGGACTCTAGGTGCCTACCCCTTGACTCTGTGTACTGATAACTGCTCCACCCCTACAGGTTATCATCAACTTCCCAGACCCCTCTCAGAAGAGCGACATCGTGCAGCTACGTGGGCCCAAGAACGAAGTGGAAAAGTGTGCCAAGTATCTCCAGAAAGTCATTGCGGAGCTGGTGAGTCCCAGGCTTGTTAAGCTTGCAGATGAACAGGGCTGCTGCTCGGCTCCCCACCCCCTTTGCTCAACGTGACGGAATCCCATCGGGGTGAAACCCATCCTTTCCCCCAAGAACTGGGCTATTTGGGAAGGGAGGGAAGAGGGGAAGGATGTCTGTTTGCTGCTGCTATGACCAGTGTCTTGCTGAAGTGTTGCTGCTCCGCCAGGTGTGCTTCTTTTGCCCAGGCAGGTGGCCTCGGGATGTACCACCTCATGTGGTCGGAAAGGGGGTAGCACAGTGGTGGCCTGAGATGACTGGCAGGCAAAGGAAGCTTGGTTGGATACAAGGAAACTTTTTTATTTTTATTATTTAGTAGTGTATACGCCCTGTTCTTCCTCCAGGTTGGAGCACAGGGCAGCTTCCGATGCAACACGCAACAGTAATCATATAAAAAAGACACAATAAAACCGAATAAAAGCACACCACCATTGTAAAAACAGCCAAACTAGGCCTGAACTCCAGCCAGTGTCTGCATCAGGTTCCAAATATCTGGACAAATAAATAAGTGAAAACATATCTAAATATAGCTAATGTGGAAGGTTGACATATTTCAGTTCAGAGAGTTTTCCATTAAACAGGGCACCACCTCTGAGAAGGCCCTGTCTCATTCCTTATTGGAATAATAATCCATTATTATTTGTATATTCAGTAATTCATACCTATTTCCATATCTTCCGGTCTCGTTTCCTATTGCCCACGATTTCCCGCCCTAATTTAAAAAGAAAAGTCCCTTCCATTTTTGCTTCTTCCATTCTTTCTCCAGGAGAATTGCCCGAAACCTGGTGGCTTTGTCCTTTGAGTGTGCCCTTTGCCCTTGCACCCAGGATCCTTTCTGTCTCAGCTCTATCTCTGCCATCTCAAGATGCTTCTGAATGTCTCTTATCAATGGTTCCATACCTCTCCTCCAGCATTGTCTGTCTCACTCCTCCAGGCATCATACTTCATGGATTTTCTTCTTCTTCTTTGCCTTAGGTTGAAAACAGTTTTTCTATTCCAGTCCCTATCTTCAAGCAGTTCCACAAGAACATTATTGGGAAAGGAGGCGCCAACATCAAAAAGGTAAAAGTGTGTGGGGGGGTTCCTCCTTCCGATTTCCTCCCCTCCCCCAAGAACTGGGCTTGGGGTGGTAGAGTGTCTCACTTTCTGAGGATAGAGGTCCAAGCCAGTTAAGAATCGGTGAGTCAGTTCCAGCATGTTGGCCCCCCACCTCTGATGTTGTAAAGAACCAATGCAAACCTCTGGAGCTTTGGTCTAAGAGGGGTCCTAACCAACTGCTGCTGCCAGACAGCGGTCTGTTCACCTAGTCACTGCAAGTGGCGCTGTGGTCTAAACCACTGAGCCTCTTGAGTTTACCGATCAGAAGGTTGGCGATTCGAATCCCCGCGACGGGGTGAGCTCCCGTTGCCCTGTCCCAGCTCCTGCCAACCTAGTAGTTCGAAAGCACACCAGTGCAAGTAGATAAATAGGTACCACTGTGGCGGGAAGGTCTATGGCGTTTCCATGCGCTCTGGTTTCCGTCATGGTGTCCTGTTGCGCCAGAAGCTGTTTAGTCCAGCTGGCCACATGACCCGGAAAGCTGTCGGCAGACAAACGCCGGCTCCCTAGGCCTGAAGGCGAGATGAGCACCACAGCCCCATAGTCGCCTTTGACTGGACTTAACCGTCCAGGGGTCCTTGACCTTTTAGCTGCTCGCCTGCCTCCCTCCCTCTTCCAAGCCATTAACAAGGGCTTCTCCTTGTCGAGTCCCTTACGGTAGCCTAGCCTTGAGGGTCTGGGTTTGATGTTATCTCTTCACAATAGATTCGAGAGGAAACCAATACCAAGATTGACCTCCCCACAGAAAACAGCAACTCGGAGGTGATCCTGATCACTGGGAAGAAGGCCAACTGCGAGTGCGCCCGGGACCGCATCCTGGCCATCCAGAGGGAGCTGGTGGGTGTGTGAAGCTGTTTCCTCCTGTTAGTCTTTCCAGATCCCAAGGACACGGCTTGGACATGTTCCAGTCTGTAACACAACGGCTGCAGTTGGAAGTCACGCTATCAAACCACAGTTTATTGTGACAGGAGTGAGCCTAGCCTCTCCTCGGGGGTGCATGTTCTCTCCATCACCTTGGGGAGGAGCTCAGAAGCTCTCGGCTTCTGTTTTGGATTAACTGTGGCTTGGTATGTTATCCAAACCTTAACAGACCGGTTAATCTTAACTCTGGCTTGTTTGAAACCAAGGCAACATCTAACCATGGTTTGATGAAACCGCCTTGTTTCAACAAACCATAGATAGGATTAACTACAGTTTTAGGTCTGGCTGCAATGAATAGAAAATTGGAACCAAAAGCTTCCACATTAACCACTGGAAGTAAAAACTTCAATTGTTTTCCTTGCCGTGCCAGTGGAAGTGGGGAGATTGAGTGCCTAGGGGAAGGCTAGACTTGTTCTTTCCACAATAAGCCACGGTTTATGGTGACGACTGTCTGGATTGGGCCAAAGGCAATCTGTAGCATGTTGTATGTGGGGCTGCTCTTGGGACACCCCTGTTTCCAGATATTTTAGTCCCTTGCTTCTGCCGTTGGATGCAAGTTCAGCAGTTTCTTGTATTTTAGTTAATTGTTTGCTCGCCTTGAACCTTACAGGAAAGGCAGGATATTAAAATTTTATGGCAATTGCTTTGGAAGCAAGTGCCAACTTTGGCCTTGGAGAAAGGGTTTTGTAGCCCTTCTCTCTCTCTGTTTCTGTCTCTCTCTTTCTATCACCCACCCCTTCCCTCCCAGGCTAACATAAAAGAAGTGGATGTGTCTATACCAGCCAAGCTGCATAACTCCCTGATTGGGGCCAAGGGGCGGCTAGTGCGCTCCATCATGGAGGAGTGTGGCGGGGTGCACATCCACTTCCCTTCCGAGGGGTCGGGCAGCGACAAGGTCACCATCCGAGGGCCTGGCGAGGAGGTGGAGAAAGCGAAACGGCAGCTGCTGCAAATCGCGGAGGAGAAGGTACCAAATAAATCAGAGGTTGCCCGGTGTTATCAGTGGGGAGAAAACAGCTGTTCTTTGGCGGTCAGGTTGCTACAATAACAGAGAGCATCCTTCACACCTCCCTGTTTTCCTTTGAGCCATGGGCCGCATCCTTGGCACACTTTTAAAAGCACAATTATACCACTTTAATCAGTCACGGCTTCCCCCCCAAAAAAACCAGAATCCTAGGAACTGTAATTTGTTAAAGATGCTTGAGAGCTGTTCGAATAAAATTGGGGAGTTGGGAGTCCAGCCCCCTGGAATGCAGGAATCTCAGCTAGATCCCTGTTCGCCTCACAGAGGTACAGCTCTCAAACCACTCAGAGAAAGGGGAAGATGGGTCTCCTCTAACAAGTCTCAAACTCCAGTTTCCAGGATTCTTTGGGGGGAATCCACAACCGTTTAAAGTGGTATAATAGATCTTTAAATAACATGCGAATGTGGCCTTAAAACTCCATATTCCAGCTCCATTTGCTCTCCCAAATTACTAGCCTATGAAGGCATGATTTCAAAGGCACACAACATGGTTTGAAGCGAAGTATGTCCCTCCCGGGTCAGATGTTGGATGGGAGATCACCCGGCTTACCCCCCCCCATGTGATCTGGCTGTGGTTCCTTGATGAAAGGAAGGACTGGAATTTAAATGTAATAAATCAAAGACATGGAAATAATCCCTAGGAAAACAGCCGGATTTTAAAACTGCAGTCCATCGCACAAAGAGCTTGGATCATTCATGGTCACGCAGTATTTTTTGGTGACACAACACCCACACAGAGCAGCTAAAAAGATAATGAGCAACTATCTATCCTGGCTGCAGTTAGTGGAAATGCATTTTAGGAGTTCTTCTGCGGCTTATCTTGCCTATAATTCCTATGAGACAAAACACACACCCCTCCCCCTTTTCGAAGTGGTTGTGCTTGAGGCTGCTGCAGCGAACATAGTATAATTTTAACTCTGCCCTAGTTTTTGCATTCCTTCCCACACTTCTAATGTTTTTATTTGTATTGTGACATAGTTGTACACCGCCTTGAGATTCAACGTGAGAGGTGGTTTGCCATTTTTATCGATTAGGCTGATCAGTCCCACGTTGCCGAGGTCTCCAGCTTACTTAGATCTGCAAACATTCCAAAAAAAATAAACGAATTCAGAATTCATATAAAATGTTAACATGCCCACGCAGACTTTTTGCGCATGGAAATGTTTTTTTTAAACGAATCCCGTATTTTTCGCTCTATAAGACGCACCATACCACAAGACGCACCTAGTTTTTGGAGGAGGAAAACAAGAAAAAAAATATTCTGAATTTCAGAAGCCAGAAGAGCAAGAGGGATCGCTGCGCAGTGAAAGCAGCAATCCCTCTTGCTGTTCTGGCTTCTGGGATAGCTGCACAGCCTGCATTCACTCCATAAGATGCACACACATTTCCCCTTACTTTTTAGGAGGGAAAAAGTGAATCTTATAGAGCAAAAAATACGGTAAGTAGCGTGCCGATTCCATGAGCTGGATTGGCTAAGCAGGAAACTACGGAAAGTGCTTCCCTTGGCAGCGAGTTCTACAGTTCGGTTTAGGAGGCGGGAGTATTTATTTGTGCCACAGAGCAGGGCGCTCCTTGGCAAGCTTTCAGCTGTCCACCCTCTGCCCTCTCCACCCACAGCAAATCAACAACCACTCGGCAGAGCTGCACGCCAAGCCAGAGTACCACAAATTCCTAATCGGGAGAGGGGGCGCCAACATCCGCAGAGTGAGGGACCGCACCGGTGCCCGCATCATCTTCCCCAGCCCCGACGACAAGGACCAGGAGATCATCGCCATCGTGGGGAAGGAAGATGCGGTGCGGCAAGCCCAGCACGAGCTGGAAAGCCTCATTTGCAACCTGGTATATATATATATGAGAGTGGATGCTCGGCTGTTTCATTTGCATCTGGTTCGGATGGTTATATGCATGCCCAGCATACAGCACCCCTAGAATTGGTTTGGGTGAACGGCAGCCTAGCAATTGCTTAGCCACCAGCTGCTAATCAGCTATCAAGTTGGTAGCATTCAGCGGTACAGCACAGCACAGCATAGTGGTTAGTGTTGGACTTGGACCTGGAAGATCAGGGTTCAATCCCCACTGGGCCACGAAACTTCTTGGGGTGAGCCTGGGCCTCCTCTCGGCCTGACCTACCTCTCAGGGTTGTTGTGGGGTTTAAATTAGGAGGGGGAGAACCATGCCCACCACCTTGAGCTTCTTGGAGAAAAATGCAGGATATGAATCAATAAACGTGAGCAGCAATACTAGGCTGACTTCTACCCGGAAACCTCCATAAAGCTCATTGCCACCAATCTCCTTGCCAAAGGACTACTAGTCGTCCGGAAAGAGCCCAAACCTTTGGAGAGTGAGATTGCGCAAAGCTGGATAGCACCCCTCTTCCGCATTGGCCATGATTTGGGGGAGAGACTGTAGCCATGGAAGGAGAGGCTACAGGGCCCTTCCCCCACCTCCTCTTCCTGCCCCCCAGGATAACGTCATCGAGGATTCCATGATGGTTGACCCCAAGTACCACCGCCACTTTGTGGCGCGCCGGGGGCACGTGCTGCGGGAGATTGCGGAAGAGTACGGCGGGGTTGCGGTGAGCTTCCCCCGGACGGGTGTCCAGAGCGACCGCGTGATGCTGAAGGGAGCGAAGGACTGCGTGGAAGCTGCCAAGAGACGCATCCTGGAGATTATCAGCGACCTGGTAGGATTCAGTTTCCAGAGTCTGGGTCAGAAAGGGCGTTTGGAAAGACCAATTCAAAGTGCTGGTTTTGACCTATAAAGCCTTAAACAGCTCAAGACCGCAATACCTCAAGGGCCGCCTCTTTCCATATGAACCTACCCGGACCCTCCTTCGTGTGCCTCCTCCTCGAGAGGTCCAGAGGGTGGCAACACAAGAACGGGGCCTTCTCAGCAGTGGCTCCCCATTTGTGGAGTGCTTTCTCCAGGGAGGTTCGCCTGGCGCCTTCATTATACAGTGGTACCTTGGGTTAAGTACTTCATTCGTTCCGGAGGTCCGTTCTTAACCTGAAACTGTTCTTAACCTGAGGTACCACTTTAGCTAATGGGGCTTCCCGCTGCTGCCGCACTATTTCTGTTCTCATCCTGAAGCAAAGTTCTTAACCTGAGGTACTATTTCTGGGTTAGCGGAGTCTGTAACCTGAAGCGTATGTAACCCGAGGTACCACTGTACACCTTTAGGCACCAGGCAAAAACGTTCCTTTTTGGCCAGGCCTTTGGTTGATCCGATTTGCATCCTATGCCCTTTTAAAATGTGTTTTTTTTGGGGGGGGGGGCTCTTGGGTGGTTGTTTTAATTTTTATTAGGTATTTTGTGGTTTTATATCTTGATTTATACCCCCAGGTATAGGGCGGTACATAAATTCAATTAATAATAATAATAACAACAACAACCCCCTCTTTCCAACATGTGTCATATTGTAATTCTCTTTTAAGATGAGAATGATACCTTAAGCTGCAGGTTTGTGATCCTGGGGGCTGAACGTGCTTCCCCACCCCATGACCGTCCAGGACTGAAATCCCTTTCCCCCTCTGTTGGCTTCAAAGTCATCGCAAGCACGCTTAGCTTTGGGGTTGCCCCTTCCCCGCAACCTTAACTCGCCTTGCTCACCCCATCCCACTTTTTTCTTCTCTCTCTTTTTTTTTTTTTTTGCTTCCCATCTCTTCTCCAGGAAGCCCAGGTGGTCCTCGAGTGCGTCATCCCGCAGCGCTTCCACCGGGTCGTCATGGGAGCCAAAGGTTACAAGGTGCAGCAGATCACTCGGGACCACGACGTCCTGATCAAGTTCCCGGAGCGAGATGACAATTCAGGTAGAGGGGATTGCAGGTAGAGGGGAGGGGAGATTCCATGCAGGGAAATATTTTCACCTGGTTTCCCCCCCACCCCGCTAGGTTCAGAAGCACAGTCTCAGGAAAACGGCGACATCAGCCCCGAGCTGGACTCTGCCCCCCGCAAATGTGACACCATCCTTATCTCGGGGCGCAAGGAGAAATGCGAGGCGGCGCGGGCAGCTCTGCTGGTAGGAATCTTCTCTCTCTGTCCTGGGCGAGTATAGAAAAGGCCCTCTCCTTGGTCACCCCCCTTCAGACCTTCCTCAGAAGGGGGGGGAGGACCTGGAGGAGGACCTCTGATGTTGATCTAAGTCCTAAGACAGCTTTCTCCAAGCTGCTGCCCTCCTGATGTTTTGGACTGAAGCTCTTCATTGGTCCTGACCAGCATAGTCAAGGATGATGGGGGGAGAGGGGGGGGTCACAGTCCAGCAACAGCTGCAAGAGGAATCAGTTTGGGCAATGTTGAGAATACAGAGGCCCAGGCAGGTTCATGGCAGGGGAGGAATTTGGTCAAGCCCTGGACTGAGTATATGGTTCTAGTTGCATATAAATCATTGGGGAGGGGGTGGAGGAAAGAGGCAAAATGTTGCGGACCTTACTGTTCTTTGGATGCCCAGTCAGGGCAACCTGCCCATAGGGAGTGTTTTGATTTGCACTTTTTTGCTCGGTTGTGCTACCTTCGGCACCGTGAGAATGTAAGCAGAGCCTTGTTGGGGTCAGGCCCGCATCCCACCTAGTCCAGCCTCCTGTTCTCAAAGCGGCCGACCTGCTGCCTCTGGGAAGATTGCAAGCTGGGTGCGATTCCCAGCATCCGGAGATGGCATGATCCCTTGTGCTTTTTGCCATTTTGGTTCCTGCCTTCCACAGTTCTTAGGGAGCGAGATCACAAGGTGTGTTGCCTACCTAATACTGTTAGAATTCCTGCTCCATGATTGCAGTCATGGGATTGTTGTCTTTCACATGACGCTATGTTTTGACTCCACAGAGTGGGAAGTGACGGAGACAGGATGTTTGTGTTACTGTGTTCCGTGAAGTGGGACTATTGTCCTTTGTCCTTTTTCTCTTTGCTGTCTGATGCTAGAGAGAGAGGGAGCCATGTTGCAGTGCTCTGTGTGTGTTTATATGTAAATAAAGTAGATTAGCCAAAATGCTGAGTTGCTGAGGTCTGTCATGCATGATGCACAAACTCTGCGGATCCCTAAGTGTGCCGATGTCTGTTGGCATTGGTCACTGTGATGTTCAGGCTGAAGAAAGCTTTTGAAGCTCCCGAACGATTGACCAGGAGGGAGAGAACATGCCAGTCGGGTGTAGGCCAAGTTCCTGACAAATACATGGGTAGGGTAGGCGCAAAAGTGCCATAGAGTTGGGGCCTGATCCAGGGTTGTGAGCCTGCATGTATTTCTCCAGCCTTGCTCAGTTGGTTTTTCGCTTCTGTGAACTTCCCTGAGACCTCCGGGTATAGGGCGGTATATAAATTCAATAAATAAAATAAAAGGAGCCTCTATAGACATGGAGGACCAAAACAATTCTGAAGCTCCCTGCAGAAATCCTTACTCTTCTTACCCTTCCAGGCTCTGGTTCCCATCACAGTGGACGTGGAGGTCCCCTTTGACCTCCATCGCTACATCATTGGGCAGAAGGGAGCCGGCATTCGCAAGATGATGGAGGAGTATGAGGTAGGAACACATGGTCCTCCTTCCAGCCCTGCTTGCGGCCTCAGCATTGCCTTTGGCGTACTCAGTGCTTTTTTTCTGGGGGATGCAGATTCATTTTGTGAATCTTTGTACTTTTGTCCATTTACTGTACAGTGGGCCCTTGGGTTGCGAACGTGATCCGTGCGGGAGGCACATTCACAACCCACAGCATCCACAACATGCAGCACCATGTCTGCATATGCGCGGGTTGCGATTTGGTGCTTCTGCGCATGCGCAAAGCATGATTTAGTGTTTCTGCACATGCGCGAGCGCCAAAACCCAGACGTAACCTGTTCCGGTACCTGTGGGTTTCGGCATGTCCGTAACCCGAAAACGCACAACCTGAAGCGTCTGTAACCCGAGGTATGACTGTATATTTATTTTTGCCAATTTGAACAATAAAATGGTGATTTCCTTGAGTTAAAATGAGAGTACCCCTAAACATTTTTTTTAAAAGAAAAAAAACACTGGGCGTACCTTTTCCTTTAAATGCTGTGTGTGTGTTCTGGGTTCGCTGTCGATGGTCTAGGACAGGGGTCTGCAACCCGCGGCTCCGGAGCCGCATGTGGCTCTTTTACACCTTAGCCGCGGCTCCGGGGCGGATACTAGCGAGGGGAGGAGGCGCATTGTGCGCCCCGACACTCCCCACTGTGGCGGGCGCTGTACTGGCTGTGATGTCGCATGGGGGCGGTACGTGCGTTAGTCACGCACCATCCCGACGTCACCTTCCCGCCCGCCCCGCCCGCTACATTGTAAGGGGCATGTATGCTGGTCACTGCATTGAAAGGGGGCATGTACGTTGGTCACTGTTTTGAAGGGGAGTGAAGAACACACACACACAAAAAGGTAACTTGTTAATTTAACATTTATTTCTATGAGGAGGAGTAATTCTGAGGGGTCAAACAAAGAAATAATAAAAAAATGACAAAAAAGTTATTTTTATAATGACGAGTTTTGCGGCTCCCAGTTTTTTTCCCCTTCGGAAACGGGTCCAGGTGGCTCTTTTTGTCTTAAAGGTTGCAGACCCCTGGTATAGGAAGCTTCAGCGGTCTGCAACCAGATTGACTAGGCGGCCAAATCATAGACTCACAGAATCATAGAGTGCAAAGGGACCCCAAAGTCATCCAGTCCAACCCCCTGCAAAGCAGGAATCTCAACTAAAGCATCTGTAACAGACGGCCACCCAACCTCTGCTTAAAAACCTCCAAGGAAGGAGGGTCCACCAGCTCCTGAGGGAGCCCATTGCACTGTCAGACAGCTCTTACTGTCAGGAAGCTCTTCCTGATGTTGAGTCGGAATCTCCTTCCTTGTAACTTGAAGCCCTACCCTCCAGAGAAAACAAGCTTGCTCTGCCTTCCATGTGGCAGCCCTGGGCTTCCCTGTGACAGACAGTTCCCACAATAGCAGCACGTCTACGTTAACCCTGCCACAGCTTTTTTTTTTTAAAGATATTTATTAAAATTTCAACATTTTACAAAAATAAGGGGAAAAAAGAAAAAAGAAAATACAAAGTAAAAACAGTTAAAAACAGATCAGTTTTTCCAAATCTTATATTTCATTTGCTTGTTTCCCTGACCTCCTCACACCTCCCTTTTTTGTATTCCAGTTCAATTAGTTAATTCAGCAAATCCTTTCCCTCTTTGATTTTATCTTAATCTTTTATCTTAATATATTATAGCTTTATATTATCACCTGTTAACAAACCATTTTACATGTTCCTTTATAACATTGCTACTAAAAACCGCTTAACTTCAATCCAACATCATTCTAACATTCATTAATTTGGCAGTGTTTCTGTAAATAGTCTTTAAATTTCTTCCAATCTTCTTCCACCGACTCTTCTCCCTGGTCTCAGATTCTGCCGGTCATTTCCGCCAATTCCATATAGTCCATCACCTTCATCTGCCATTCTTCCAGACACAGCTAAGGAAGTATGAGAACAGGAGGGGAAGGGATGAAGACACAAGCGCACTGCATGATGTGTGTTCGTGTCTGTCGCCAGCAATGCTGTCCTGTTGCTTTCAGAGAGGGCACTGCCCACAAGGGGGCACTGCAAACAAATGGCATACAGTGGTACATCTGGATGCGAACAGGATCCGTTCCGGAGCCCCGTTCGCATCCAGAGCAGAACGCAACCTGCGTCTGCGTGTGCGCGGGTCGCGATTCGCCACTTCTGGGCATGCACATGACATCATTTTGAGCATTGCGCATGCGCGAGTGGCGAAACCCGGAAGTAACGCGTTCTGTTAATTTCTGGTCGCCGCGGAGCGCAACCCGAAAATGCTCAACCTGAAGCGACTTTAACCCAAGGTATGACTGTATGTAGAAAGCCCCTTTGGGGAAAATTTTGGTTGGGCCCAATTCACAGCAAGCGGCTTTTCTAAGGTACATAATTTGCTGAGCGCCTATTTAAAGAGGACTGTTGGGTGATTTAAGAGCTTTTTTTAAAAAAAAATTAGTTGGCTCGTTAATCTGTAATTTACCAAGTTACCCAACACTAGAAAGTTAAACCTAGGTGCCTCTTTTTTTGAGAGACCCCTTCCGCTACCCCTGAGGTTTGGCCAGCATTGAACCAGGACTGAGCCTTTAGCGTAGCAGACCCTGCCTTGGGGCACACTTTGCCAAAGGGATGTCTGGCGGGACTCCTCTCTGCCTCCACTAGGGCACCTTTTCAAAACTGCTGTCCAGACAGATCTTTGGGACATGGACTTTTTTAAAAAAAACCACACCAAGCTGTTCATTGTGGTGTTGTTATGTTGTTGTTGTTGTTGTATTTTGTATTCCATCTTGCTGCATTTTCTATGCAGTTTAAATGATATTTAAAAGAATAAAACTTAATGGGCAGTTAAGCTGGATCAGGAAACTAGAACTGTGTGTTTGTAAAGGCTTTTTGTTCTGAAGATTATGCTCCTTAATTATAGGTGTGTTTAGCTGCCTGTTTTAGTCCGGGTGGGTTCCAAGGCATGCATATGTTTTTATATAATTCACTCATGTTTGGTGTAATTGTTCTTGAGAAATAATGTGAGGGGAGAGGCCTGCTGCTTTCTCCAGTGGCAGCAGCAGAAAGTAGTTTGAAGGAAAGGACTCCATGGAGCACCCTGAAAACAGGCCTTTGCAAAGGATCTTGGGAACGTCACATCTAACTTGAACACTTTGAAAACCTAATGGGAGCCTTTGAGATGCGCCGTTCGTCCCAGAGCAGGGAACATTATATTTGCATATTGACAATTGATTTACCGTATTTTTTGCTCCATTGGACACAGTTTTTCCCCTCCAAAAATGGAGGGGAAATGTGTGTGCGTCCTATGGAGCGAATGCAGGCTTGTGCCATAGCCGTGCGCAACCCCTCCGGCATGGAGAGGCTGCACGGGGCTATGGCTTCTTTAGCCCCGTGCAGCCTCTCCCGGCAGGGAGGGATTGCGCGGGGCTAAAGAGGAAGCCAAAGCAGCCAGCAGGATCCATCCCGCTCGCTGCCTTGGCTTGTTCCATAGCTGCGCGCAACCCCTCCGGCAGGGAGAGGTTGTGCGCAGCCTGTACGCTGCTCTTTGGGGCTGGGGGGGGAAAAATATTTTTTTTAATTGATTCCCCCGTCTAAAAAATAGGTGCGCCCTATGGTCCGGTGCGCCCTATGGTGCGAAAAATACGGTAAATGTTCTGTATACACAGTTTTAAGTGTTCTTGTTTGGGCTGGGTTATAAATTTATCAGAAGGAAAGGCAGGAAATGACGCTAGGCCGTAGGTCCGCTGCCCTGACAGGTTTGCAGCCTGCACTGCCTTTCTTTTAAAGACAGCGACGCTTCTCCCTTTCCTCAGGTGAACATCTCAGTGCCCCAGCCTGAGCAGCAGTCGGACGTCATCAAGATCACAGGCTTGGTCCCCAATGTGGAGCGGGCCAGGGCCGGCCTCCTGGAGAGGGTCAGGGAGCTGCAGGCAGAGCAGGAAGACCGGGTAACTGCCAGAGCCCAGCGCCTCAAGACATAAACATGTCCAATCCACTGGCTTCCCAGCTGCACCGCTTCTCAGAGTACTGAGGGATGGGTTCCTGAGGCCAACCAGTAACTCCCAGCTTCCCTCTCCCTCTCCTCCCCAGGCGTTGCGTGGCTTCAAGCTGACGGTGAGCGTGGAACCCAAATACCACCCAAAGATCATTGGCAAAAAAGGGGCGGTCATTTCCCAGATCCGGAAGGACCATGATGTCACCATCCAGTTCCCGGATAAGGGGGATGAGAATCAGGTGAGTCTCTCTCCTTTCTTTTGCTGTGTGTCGCTGGACCCCTCTTCCCAGGGGAGATTATGGGACAGGGAGAGTGGCTCCGTAATGCTCCACCACAGTGAAAAGGCAAAGACGTTCATAAAACTTGTCTGTGCTTGCTTATAAGTACAGTTGCAATTTGTTTTGGTTTTTGTATTATTTTATTTCTATTTATTAAGTTTATTTACCGCCCTATACCCCTAGATCTCGGGGCAGTTCACAACCTACAATCACAATATGAAAAACACAAAATACATAATAAAAATGAAAACAAAGGCAACACAATAAGCCCTCCTTCCACAATTCATTTAAAAGGAACATTTTGAAAAGCTTAACACTTTGTATGTCCTTTAACCTTTATGGTACAGTGGTACCTCAGTTTTCGAACGTAATCCGTTCTGGAAGACTGTTCAACTTCCAAAACATTCAACAACCGAGGCACAAAGGGCAGTCGACAAAGTCTATGGAGAAAATTGAAAAACATGCAGTGGAAGCCGTTTGACTTCCGAGGCGCATTTGAAAATGGAAGCAATTACTTCTGGGTTTTCGGCATTCGAAAAACGAAACGTTTGGCTTCCGAGATGCTGGAAAACCGAGGTACCACTGTATAATATATTTTTATCTTTCTCTTTTCAAATGTAAGTTGCTTGGAGATCTCCGGAAGTAACAGGCGGCCAAGAAGTTTGATAAATGAATAATAGCCTCACCTAGAATCAGATTTCCATGTTCCTAACTTTGCATAAAACCTATTTGGTCAAAGTGATGCCCATTTGTGGGGTTGCCTCCCGCCCCCCTCAATCTGTAGTGGCGAAGGAATGGGGCTTCTCTAAAGTCCTGCCATCTTTTTGTCTCGGTCTTTCTCCTTCCCCCGCCCGGGTCCAGGACCTCATCACTATCACCGGCTACGAGAAGAACGCCGAGGGGGCCCGGGACACCATCTTGAAAATTGTGGCCGACCTCGAGGAGATGGTCAGCGAAGATGTCCGCTTGGATCACCGGGTTCACGCCCGTATCATTGGCGGGAGGGGCAAAGCCATCCGCAAGCTTATGGAGGAGTTTCGGGTAAGGGGGAGGGTTGCCAGTGGCTGTTCTGTGTTTGAGGGGTGGAGGTTGCCTGACCCTTCTGCAGTCTGCCCCATCAACAATGGCGGGCAAGCAAAATCGTGACAGCCAGGCTCTTGCTCGTCCAGTTGATGCTCTTTGGACTGTGCAATCTTGTGAACTCGTGCTTCTCGCCCCGGCAGGTCGACATCCGCTTCCCTCAGCCGGGTTCCAGTGACCCTGACAGAGTCACGGTCACAGGGCTGCCGGAAAACGTGGACGACGCTATAGACCACATGCTCAACTTGGAAGAGGAATATGTGAGGAGGGGAGAGATGGCTGGGAGGGGTGCTCAAGCAGCTTGATGGAGGGGGGAGCTTCCTTCTAGCTATATATACACATTTGAGAGACAGCAGAGGAAAGATTCTTGCCATATCATGGGTGCGTGGGCCAAATTGGACTGGTGGCCAGGGCTGCCCAATTTGATGTCACGATGATGTCAGGTGGTTGGCATAGTTGGTGTTGCTTAATCAGAAAATAATCGCTGTTGACTTTTATTAATGATTGGAAACCTCTTACGGGCTTTCTGCGCAAGTGAACTTGTGGTATCAGGGTATGAAGACTTTGGGGGTGGAGCTGAAGGTTGGTTTATGGAAAGTAGGAGAGTTGAATGTTACCAGGAAGTAAGAATTTAACACAAGTTTTTAAAGGCGATAGACAGAAAATTGGAAGTTTTTTCTTTTTCCTTTTCTTTATTTTCTTTGAATTTTTCTGTTTAAGAAATGCTTGATGTTTCTATACTGTTCTTTCTTTCTCCCCTCAAGCTTTAATAAAAAATCAAGGGAAATAATGATAAATAAATAAAACAATGATGTCAGGTGACTGGGCGCTTTGAAGTCCCAGCAGGACTTGCAAAAAAAGAGAGCCCTGCGCGGTGCTTTGAAGTGCCTGAGGTTTTGCCTTGCTTGTGCGAAATTGGCACAAGTAGCGTGTGGGTTTGGTTGGTGGTTTGAAGGGGTGAGGGCAGCTAATGCTCCTTATTCCAGTTTTTAAAATCTGTCTTGCATCCCGAGAGGCCCTCAAGCTGACCATGAGACTCCGCTAGCACCCTCCAGTTTTAACGGGAGGCTTCTCCTTCCAGATGATGGACGTGGTGGAGACCGAAGCCATGGCTGCGTATATGAAGCCTCCGTCCCGCTTGGAAGAGGAGCCCCGGGGCCCGGCCAAGGGCTTTGTGGTGCGCGATGCCCCCTGGAACGCGTCTGGGAACAAGGTATGGCTTGGGTCCGTCATCACCACAGAGTCTGCCTTAGAAGCTGCCCGCTTTGGCCAATATTAAGAAGCACTGCATGTGAAGAAGGGGCCAAGAAAACCTCAAGACCCATGAGGCCTAGTGCCTTGGGGTCCTTTTAAAAGCGGAACCAGCTTGCTCAAAAGGCAGAGGGTCTTTGCGGCATGCGCTACCCATTTAGACCAGGAAATACATCTTCCCCCTCTCCCCTTTCAGGCCCCAGATGTGAGCAGCGCCGAAGAGTTTCCCGTCTTCGGCACCGGCGTGGTCCCCAAGCAGACGTCTGTCTGGGGCCCCAAGAAGTTCTGAGGCAGCGGCGACGCACTGCCAGCCAAGCACGGCTCCCACCTTCCTTGGGCATCGTGGCAGCTTTCTCGCGCCATCAACTCCTCTCGCTGTCGGGATGTGGCAGATTCTTCTTCCTCCTCCTCCTCCTCCTCCTCCGCCTGCACTCTCTCTTTCCGTGACTCTGTGCAATCCATTAACCAATCAAAAGCCATAGCCAGCCCTCTTTCCACCTCCCCACCGCCCTCCTTTTCCTTCTCCTCGTCTAGCCAAAGCAGGCCAGGTTGTAAGCACACAAGTGGAAACGAGCCTCATGTGACTAACTCGTTCTTTCTTTCTTTCTTTCTTTCTTTCTTTCTTTCTTTCTTTCTTTCTTTCTTTCTTTCTTTCTTTCTTCTCTCTCTCTCTCTCTCCATGCCAAATTTCAGGGCATTAGTCTCTCCTGGCCAAATTTGGCTGTAACACCCCTACTTCCCCCTCCCGGCTGAAAAAGGAGGAGGCAAGGACCCCCTTTCTTCCCTGTCTCCAACTCTGTCCTCCCAGGTGTAGGATACTCGTACGGTCCACACACACCTGAACCAAGGGGAAGGGCCGAATGTTTTAGGGGGACTCAAAGGACAGGCAGCTCTCTTGTACTGCCACTCCTAACTTGATTGCATCGCCCTTCCTTCTAGCCAGCCAGCCTGCCTGTTAATCGCTTCTCCTCCAAGCTTGCAAATAGCCCCTCTCCCGGGCGACAAACCGTTAAGATTTGAGCTGCACCATAGAGACAGGTTTGCGGGAATCTGTGCATGAACGTGTGGACCTCTGGAAGGAGACTTCCGGCTCCTGTGACCAGAAGGAACTCTTCAGAAGCAGGGAGCACTTAGAAACTTTGGCACTCGGCAGTCTTCTGTCTCCTCCCCCACCCCCACTTTCCCCACCCGATCTTTCTCATCTCATGGCACAGTGTAGACTAGCCTTGCCAACCTGGCTCTCTCCAGGTGTTCTGGACAGCAGCTCTGACCCAGGTGGGAGCTGCTGACCGAGACATCGGGGGAAAGGAGCGCCAGCCGAGGTTGGCAAAAGCTGGTGTCGGGTCTGTTATGACTTGCTCCTTTTCTTTTCTTCTCTTTCCATTTTCAACCTCCCTTTCTCTCTCGCGCTTTTTCCTCTTTCCCCTCCCTCGTGTCTTCCTCAAGATGCACTTGCTTTGAAACATTAGGGGGGAAATATGCAACATTGAACAAAAGAGAAAGTTTAAGAGCCAAGCTCTTTTTCTTCTCTTCTCTTCTCTCTCTCTCTCTCTCTCTCTCTCTCTCATTCAGTTTCTAGTCCACATCCAATTTCTCCAGATTTTTAAACTGTGACTTCTGGACTGTGTGTGTCTGCCTGAGTGATTGTGTGTGTGTGTGTGTGTGTGTGTGTGTGTGGTGGAGATGCGAGTGAGTTTAGTGGCTCCACCGACCCAACTAACCCCCGTCCCCTCTTTTTTTCTTTTTTTTTGCTGTGTCAACATGACAAGGCAAAAAAAATAAGAGAAAAGCTATAGTGGAGCAACGTAACCAAGTTTTTGTTTTGTTTCTTTTTGAAGGCAGGGTTTCTGGGGAGAAATAAAGAGAATTTAACAAAAATAAAAATGGCAGAGAACACTATTGGCCTTAAAAGAAAAGAAAAAAACAAAAGAGAGTAAAGGGGGGGGAGGAACTTAATGTTTAAGGAAATATGCAAACTCTGTAGGTCACATGATGGTGACTGTGGACTTTTCTAATTCCAAATAAAAATGGAGCGAAAAACTGAGCGGCAATTTCGGCGTGAGAAAGTTATATGTTTGGCGGCCCCGGGGAGGATGCAGGTTCCAATGGATGGGCAAAAGGAACATCTGGATGAGTTTTTAGAGGAGGCTGAGAACTCAACCAATTGCAGGAAATTTCTCTTCCCTTTCTGTCTGGTGTTGCTGGCGGAAGAGGAGAGAACACTGGAGGCTGAGAACTTGGGGCTAAGAGATGAGCCCTGACTTGGTAATTTGCTTTTCCCTTGGTACGGACTGGACTTTTCCAAACCACCATGTGAGCTTCACAACCCTTTGACAGCAAATCCACAAAGCCCTAGCCCATAACAAACTTGCAAGAGCCCACACCTTTCACTAGGTGAGATCATCACATCTCACTGGCTTTTCAGTTTCCCATCATTTTGAGATTGGGGAGGGAGGTATCTGCACTGCACTTCGTTTCCTAAGTCGTGTGTGTATGGGAACCATGTCGGCCTGCAGAACTGAGACAAGGCAGAGGTCAACAAGAGCCTTATGCAATAGCTACTCTGCTTAACTTCTCCCCAGATCTACTGTTTTAGAAATACAAGCCATCCCTGGTGAAGAAATACCTTTTCAGCTTATTGCTGACCTTTCAGTTCAACTTCGAATTGTCTCTCCCAAGCGGCCTTTGTTGGGCTACAGAACCATTGCAGGCATTCTACATGCATCCGTAAAATATATAGGTCGCGATTACAGGATCAGTAAATACTGGAGCCTTTCAGATCCATAATTGTTGTTTTTTCTTCTCCAAATAATTACTATGAAATTGGAGAGCTCCCTCCCACTGCTGCTACCACCACCACCAGTTATTTGGATCTGTGTGTTTACAGTCGTAAGGGACTGTGCAACTCGGAATGCAGCAAGTAACACGATACCATGAATTGAGCTGATGGCTTAGCAAAGCTTTATCTGCAGACATTCAAACACTGCATGGTTCACTGGGCACAGGTGTCCCATAGCAGATCAAAACTTCTGGCAAGTATTCTCGACAGCCGTCAGGCTTGGGGCGAGGGTTGTCCCTTGAACCCCTGCTTGCCTGTCTTTTGGGCGCTTAAAATTGCCTAGAAATTGGGGGAGATAACTCCTTTAGGCCCCTGTGGCTGTGAAAACAGCTGTGTTTAGGGTGAGAAAGGAGATGAATAACATTCTGTGTTTTCCGATTCATTGCAGCAGAGATGTGTAAATAGTTTTGTTTGGTTGCTGTGGCTATAACTAAAAAAATGGCATACAGTGGTACCTCGGGTTACATACACTTCAGGTTACAGACTCCGCTAACCCAGAAATATTACCTCGGGTTAAGAACTTTGCTTCAGGATGAGAACAGAAATCGTGCTCCGGCAGCGCGGTGGCAGCAGGAGGCCCCATTAGCTAAAGTGGTGCTTCAGGTTAAGAACAGTTTCAGGTTAAGAACAGACCTCCAGAACGAATTAAGTACTTAACCTGAGGTACCACTGTGTTTATTATTTTAGCAATTTATATACCGCTTAGTCACAGTGGGGTACATAAAGCAGTCAGGGAATTGATAGTGTACTGCTAATATTATCAAAGCTAACTGCTTGGTGTCACCAGTCTGCAGAAACTCCCAAAGAATGGCCACAATAGCATGCTAGATTGACAGGTGCCTATCAAGAGCTCCTGTGCTGCTGCTGCTGCTGCCACCATTTTTTCTATGTATAAATGCTGGTTAAGATTCTAGTTTCTTAAGCCAGGATCCAGCTACTCTGGTCATGTGGTGCATGAGAGCAGAGTTGGACAGTGGCCCGGCTTGTGAGAATACAACAATGGCTTCCTGCGCACAAACAAGTTCTATTGTGGATTGCCCAAATGCCCTGAACTCTGCTGTTTCTGAGTTGGGAAGAAACAAACTATATCACTGACTCGGGGCACTTCCAGCCGCACACTATTTTGGGGTGGGATTCAGTCACACCCCAGCAAATTCAGGTATTTTATTGAGAGGTCTTGCGCAACCAGTCTTCTTTCCCCAACAAAGCAGACTTCATTCAACAAGAGAAGAGATGGGGGAAATCTCTGGAACGGGTGGGGATAACACTCGCTTTGGCATGTTGCCTATCCTCCCTCTCCACAAGCAAATCGGGGAAAGGCTCAATAAAAGTATTTTACCTGGGAGCACACCTAGTGATTTTTTTGTGAACCGTTAATTGTTCATCTTTTGACACCCCGTGGGTGGAAGCCAAAAAGAAACATTGAGTTCCACTTCTGGAACATAGGAAGCTGGATTCTTGGTCCATCTATCTCAGTATCAGCAACTCTCCAGGGTTTTTGAGCAAGGTCTCTCCCATCCCTGCCTGGATATTATGGGAATTGAACCTGGGAAATTTTGCATGCAAAGCAAACCCTTTCCCCCAAAGGAACTCTTGGCCCAACCGGATCAAGCCATTGTTTGGGGAGAAGCAAGCCCCGAATGCTAGCGTTGGAGAAATTTAAAAGAGGATTCCTAGACTGGAGGATACCCTCACGGAAACCCAAAGGCAAAAGATGCAGGCTCCAAGTAAAAAGAGAAGCCTTTATTGAAATACAAATGCACACAGGGACAGTCTCAATAATGAGAAGGAAGCTACAAAGAGCTCCCAAAGCAGTGTTTTTTAATCCACACTTGCCTCTCAAAGGATCACAGTTGTAATAGATGCAACCCAATATCATCCTGAACTAATCAAAATCACTTGGCTCTTCAGCCCTCTCAATATGTGGTTGCATATAACCATTTTTCAGTTTGTCTGACTAATTGGCCTATTCATTAAATGTCTCCCAATATCCTCTTTCATCAAGATTAATCCCAATTACCATGCCTTGCCGATTCTATTTCCAAGCATACAGTGGCCAACCATAGATTCCAACAGTTTTTACACACGGTACCTAAAAGCAGCTAGTTCTGTACTGCAAAAGGTAGCAATGCACAGAAACCTTAGTGGCATTTTCCATTTAAAACTTTATCCAGGAGAAAAACTAAATTATGACCAAACCTGCCACTCCCTTTAAAGTTTGGGAACCAAGCATGCAGGGAATAACTTAGGATAACTGATGCCAAGGGATTTGTTTAAAGCAGCCGGGCTAAGCCCTTTTTCGCCATTTGTTTAGCAAAGCAGCAGCAGCTGGGTTGGTCATACGCTGCCAGCGTGGATCGCTGTCCTAAGCAAAACAGGATCCACTTCCTTCCAAAGACTAGTCAGAGTAGCGGGCAGTGACCCTCCACTGTTCCAGCCCAATCTGCAAAGTGAACCTGCGAACTTCTGCATTCAAGCATAGATGCTCTGAGAGAGCTAATGGCCTTTCCCCAAAAGCATTCCTTGGCCCGTACGGGGATCGAACCCGCGACCTTGGCGTTATTAGCACCACGCTCTAACCAACTGAGCTAACCGGCCGGCCGCTGAACTCCGGAAAGTGGGTGGGAAATTGTGCGTGCGGTACCCAAAAATGACAAATTAGATCAGCCCCCGCATTTAGAACAAAGATGAGAAATGTTTCCAACAGACGAGGATCTTGAGCGGAGCCGTGTTCAGATCCTGCGGTCATCCATGAAACAGTCACGTTTCTTACTAGGCGGCTTAAGTCTGGGGATTTCTTTCGTATCTCGTTACGCGCAAGTCCGGGGTGGGACACATCGGGGGTACGCTTCTCTGAGCGAGGTGCCCGCAAGCCGGCTCCTGCCACACGTGCCTCTGGGCCCTGTGCGGTGGAAGGCGCTCAAGTCGGCTCTCAATGCATTGAGCAGACCATCTCTTGGATCTGTGGATAAACCCCAATTCCCATCAGTCCCATGGCCAATGATCAGGGATGATGGGAGTTGTAGTTCAGCAATGCCAAGAGGGCTGCGCAGGCTCCCCATCCCTGCTTATACTGTAAATGCTTTGCATGCGTGCGCGTGTTTTGTATTCCGCCCAGCCCTCGGGGAATCACCGGGAGAGCGATTGCAAAGGGAGCCAATGCGGCGCCAGCCAGAGGTTTCGTTAAACTGCAACTCCCATCAGTCCCAGCCAGCATGGCCAACCGCCAGGGATGATGGGAAGTGTGGTCCAAACCATCTGGAGGGCACCACGTTGGCTACCCCTGGCGGATCTCGGTCCCACCTTTCCGCCGCGGGGATTCAGGCCCCGGCATTTCCTGTCCATCGCTCCGGAACTCCAAAGGGCATGTGCCCTATGCAAGCGCGCCTTGCAAACTTAATCCAGTTTAATTACTCACGCCCACCAATGCCCTTGAAAGCGACGCAGATAGGTGCACACTCGGGCCGTTTGCAGCATTCAACCCTCCTGCATCGTCACTCGCCCCAAGGAAAGTCTTGGCATTTTGATGTAAGGGTCTGATCCTATGCGCTAATACTAATAATAATTCGGTTTATTAAGGCCCATTGGACGCAGCATTGGGCTGACTCCGCAGCAAGTCTGCCTGTCCTCATACCCGCATCGCTTCTGCAGAAATTGAATTTGGGACAGTAGCTTCTACTATCGAGATGATCGCGGAAAGACAGACACCCACCCACCCCAAGAAAAATCGCATTTCCCCTCCCGCCTGTCCTGGTTTAACCCGCCAGGTTTTCATTCATAAGCCCTTGGAGCGCTCAGGTCAGGCTGGGCTAAACAGGCCCCGCCCACCACGGCTGTGCAGAGAAGGAAAAAGGAGGGGGCGCGTCAGGCATCGCTTCCCCGATTGGTCCGCCAGAGGAGTGACGTCGTGGGAAGTGGCCGGCCGTTGGACAACTGCGCCGGTTGGGGGCGTGGCCCATCCCTGCCGCTGCGGGTATTACCTCCCGGCAAAGCCGGCGCCGGCTCAGATGGAGAGGAGGAGGCGAAGGGCGAAGATCTTTGGTGGGAGCGCCGCCTTTGCGCACTGGCCACGTGAGGAACCGGGGACCCCGCTTCCCATCTGACAGCGGACCCCACCCCGCATTTCCCCAGATTTCTCACCCAATGCCCCCCACCCTGTCCTTAATTTTGTGATTTCCCTGGAAGGTTGCCCCCCAACACCACCCCTGGCTTCTCTGCAGTCCTCCATCCCGGCTCCCATTAGTGGTGCAGAAGTCCTGCTCCTTTCTCTCCGTCCATCACCATATTCTCTTTACCCCCCCCCCACACCCCTGTGCAGCAGAATCTTCCTCAGAGACTGGATCCCAAATAGCCTGGGATCCGTTGGCCACTGATCAGCTGCTTTAAAAATAACATTTCCTCCTGCTAGCCTTACCAACCCAAATTATGCCCCTATTTGGACCCCTTTCAAATTCTAGCTTCGCACCTCTCAAACCTGTTTCCTCCAGCCCTTAATTCCCCAGTTCCTTGAATATCATTTTTCCCCAACCTGGAAAAAAGGAAAATCGTCAGTCACCCCGCTGCCTCCCACCCCTTCTGAACCCTTAGCGCCTGAAAGTTTCTGGGACCTTTTAGATTGCCTGTTTCCTCCTTGCTCAAAGCTGACCCTTCCATAAATGTCTGTACTCCATCCTTCACAGCTTCTGTTTCCCTCCATTTCTCATCTGCTAATGCCAGCACTAGTGCTGTTTTGGCCTTCTGGAGACCTATAACCAAGGTCCAGTGGTTTTTTGTGGGGGTATATCCCCCTAATCCATCCAGGTCCCTTGTCCCCCTCCCCCAACTCCTTATAACACCTGGTCTTCTTCCATAGAAAGCCCACATCGCCTGCCTTCCCCTCACCCACCCCAACCGTATATCTCTCTCCCTCGGCTCCCCAACAATGGACTTCCTCCTCAGTGGGGTGGCAGCCTGTGGGGCTTGCTTGTTTACCAACCCGCTGGAGGTGGTGAAGACCCGCATGCAGCTGCAAGGAGAGCTCCGTGCTCCGGGGACCTACACCCGCCATTACCGCAACGTCTTCCACGCCTTCTACACCATTGGACGGGTGGACGGCCTGTCAGCTCTCCAGCGGGGCCTCTTGCCCGCCTTGTTTTACCAGTTTGGCTTTAACGGACTCCGCTTGGGCCTCTACGGGATCGCCGACACGGCGGGCTACATTCACTCCTCCGACGGGAGCATCAGCCTGCTGCGCACCACTGTGGCTGGGGCATTGTCCGGGGTGGTCAGTGCCACCGTGAGCAGCCCAATCTATATGGTGGGTCTCAAAGCGTGGGGAATCAGTACAGGGACGGATGGGGAGGGGTTGCAAGCCATTGCGTAGGTGGGTGCAGGAGCGTAGGAAGGGGGCGGGGGGGCGGTTCACCCCAGGTACCATCATGGAGGGGGGTGACAAATTATCAAGGTACAATTACTGCCCTACTAGGGAGGTTCATATAAAAACTTTTTATGAAAATGCCTGCTCCAAAGGTCTTATCTTACTACACTAGGGATTATATAGCTATATATGAAATTTCATGCTTATCAGTTAATATCTTGACCCTCCTCCACAAAACAGCTGTTTATTTGGCCGTTTTCCTATGTCGTGAAGGCTGAAATTTCAATTCAGTGGAGCAGGGTCAAGATATACACATAATGTCTGTACTGCATTGTTTACTGTGACAGCACCTGCACTTTGGAACTCCCCGCCTATTGCAACAAAGCATGTGCCTTTGCTAGACTCTTTTCGGGCACTTGCTAAAAGCATTCTTCTTTAGGCAAGCATTTCTAGATGCTTAGGAAGTTGAAGTAATTTCGATCTTAATATTTTAGCTTTTGTATGTTTTAAAGTAGGATTGTTAATTTTTCTTGATTTTACTGCTGTGGTGTTTTTTTGGTTTTTGTTTTGATAAACCACTTTGCAGGTTATTAAAAATAAATTTTATTAAATAAATAAACAATAAATATAAATAAAATAACACAAGCCAAAACACAATCCATCCTATAAATTTAAGTATTGTCCACAGTCGCCTACTTGTTATCAGAGGCCCAGAATCCACATTCCTTTGTAAGAAAATATAAAATAATGTAAAACCGTTTTTGCAGGCAAAAAATAAAAAATAAAATCATTGTGGGGAGAGGGTGACAAGAAATTTTCTGTGCTGGGTACCACCAGACCTTCCTACGCCTCTGGGTGGGTGGAATTCCGTCGTCCCAATTCCAGAATTCTGCAATCTTGAGTGGCAAGAAAGTCAGGTTTGTGTGCTGTGTAGAACTGGGTGATGCATGAAACTTTGCATGTGTCTGTCCTGATGTGCAATGGGGACTGGTAGGGTTCAAGGCAGGGAGACCAGTAGTAGGTTCACCACCACAACCAATGGCAAACAGAGCCCACTGATTCTAGTTTTCTCCCCATCTGCTCTTTGCTGAGTCTCACAAAAGCAACACTGAGACTCAGGAGGAAGCCTTGGGCTGGTTGTAAGGAATAATAGGCCAGTGGACCTGGTGGCACAGTGCCCGATTTCCTCTAATGGACCCGCAGCCTCTGTTGCTGGTATGGCATGTATATATACCGTATTTTCTGCTCTATAAGATGCACCAGACCATAAGAGGCACCTTGTTTTTGGAGGAGGAAAACAAGAAAAAAAATATTCTGAATCTCAGAAGCCGGAACAACAAGACGGATCGCTGCGCAGCGAAAGCAGCAATCCCTCTTGCTGTTCTGGCTTCTGGGATAGCTGCGCAGCCTGCATTCACTCCATAAGACGCACACACATTTCCCCTTACTTTTTAGGAGGGAAAAAGTGAGTCTTATAGAGCAAAAAATACGGTATATATATTTATTACTGAGTTCCAACTTGAAGTTTTTCTGTGGTTTTCTGTCGACACAATCATTCCTAGGTAAAGTCCCAGTTTCCCTTCAAAACGTACATCTTGATTTCTCTCACTGGTCTTAAGGCCAATTTAAGTTCATTGATAGTCTTGTCAAAAATGACTTTCCAATTACTCCCTTTTTATCCATCTGACAGCACCCACTGCTGCTAGCTGTTGGGGATTTGGCCAAGAGGGGATGTGGTGCCTAGGCTGAAAAGATCCTCCTTTAAATGCTACATACACCACACTAGTCCTCAGCATTTAAAACACAGAGAGGGACAGACACACACAGCTGTTATTTTTCTCTCATTTACAACCAACTGGGTCTTAAAGTCCCTGAGATCAAAACACTGTCATTATCTGTCACACAGTGTCAGATGTTGACTTTCTGGACATCTTGTCATTGTGGTCCATCCATTCCTGCATCCTCCTCCCTGCCAACACTGGCCAACAGCAAGATGCTACAGGACAGCCTTTGTGTGCGTTTGTGTAAGTGTTAAGTAACGCACTCTGTTTTCCTATACTTGGAAATATTGGACAGCCTTGAATGTAGGCGTTTGAATGCCCTGGTTCATTGAACAAAGTTCCACCTGAGAAACACTTCCCTGCCCTGGAACGGAAGTGTCGTTTCTGGTTTTCGGAGATGGGGTTTCTCTATAGGGAGGCATATCCTTATTTTTATAAGGGACGCGGGTGGCGCTGTGGGTAAAACCACACTGCCTAGGACTTGCCGATCGTATGGTCAGTGGTTCGAATCCCCGCGGCGGGGTGAGCTCCCATCTTTCGCTCCCAGCTCCTGCCTAGCAGTTCGAAAGCACCCTTAAAGTGCAAGTAGATAAATAGGTACCGCTTTATAGCGGGAAGGTAAACGGCGTTCCGTGTGCTGTGCTGGTGCAGGCTCGCCAGAGCAGCGATGTCACACTGGCCATGTGACCCGGAAGTGTCTGCGGACGGCGCCGGCTCCCGGCCTCTAGAGTGAGATGAGCGCACAACCTTAGAGTCTGTCAAGACTGGCCCATACGGGCGGCGGTACCTTTACCTTTTTTATCCTTATTTTTATTAATAGGCCTCTTATGTTGTGACAGGGATGTGGGTGGCGCTGTGAGTTAAACCACAGAGCCTAGGGCTTGCCGATCAGAAGGTCGGCGGTTCGAATCCCCGTGACGGGGTGAGCTCCCGTTGCTCGGTCCCTGCTCCTGCCAACCTAGCAGTTTGAAAGCACGTCAAAGTGCAAGTAGATAAATAGGTACCGCTCCGGCGGGAAGGTAAACTGCGGCTCTGGTTCGCCAGAAGTGACTTAGTCATGCTGGCCACATGACCCGGAAGCTGTACGCCGGCTCCCTCGGCCAATAAAGCGAGATGAGCACCGCAACCCCAGAGTCGGCCACGACTGGACCTAATAGTCAGGGGTCCTTTTACCTTTACCTATGTTGTGACAAGATGTTTCTTTCATTTCCACTGCAGGTGAAGACCCACATCCAGGCTCAGTCCGCTGCTGAGATCGCTGTAGGGCACCAATACCAGCACCAGGTATGTGGGGCTCGCTCGGTTTTTTACATTGTCCAGAGTCAACTACTGGTCCATCTAGCTGAGCATTGTCTACACTGGCTTGCAGTGTCTTTCCTGGATTGAACATGGAACCTTCTGCATGCAGAGCTCTGCTCCTGAGCTAAGGCCCTTCCTTAAGAGCATTGATGATAGTTTTCAGGGGCCTAGCCAGGCATGCTGGCCCTTTAAGAACTCCCAGCTTGCTTGTACCAAGGGGACAGTATCTTCCATGAAAAGATTTTATTACCCTGGCAACCCTCAGGGTTGCCCAGCATCCAGGCCTCCCCGTGGGGGTCACTACCAGGAACAGCCAGCAACACCGTTGATGAAGTGTACTCAACGGCCACAGAGGATGGCTGGGTTCCAGAAAGAAGAGAAGGTGATGTTCTCTTTTCACATTCACATGCTTCAGGTAATCATGTGGAAATGGGTAGGGGACCTGCAGCCCTCTGTATGTTGCTGGACTCCCAGCTCCCATAGTTCTTTGCCATTTGCTCTATGGACATGGGCTGACGGGGGTTGGTGCTCAAAAATGTGAAAGGCTACAGGTTGCCCACCTGTGTCTTGTTCTCAGCGGGCTGCCCCCAATGGCAAAAATGTGTATTGCAGGATGGGGTTGTGTTACACCAGAGCAGGCTTCTTCAAACTCGGCCCTCCAGATGTTTTTGGCCTACAGCTCCCATGATCCCTAGCTAGCAGGACCAGTGGGCAGGGATGATGGGAATTGTAGTCTCAAAACATCTGGAGGGCCGAGTTTGAGGAAGCCTGCACCAGAGTTTCCCAAACTTGGGTCTCCAGCTGGTTTTGGACAACAAGTCCCATAATCCCTAGCTAGTAGGACCAGTAGTCAGGGATGATGGGAATTGTATTCCAAAAACAGCTGGAGACGCAAGTTTGGAAAACCCTGCATTACACACTCAACGACGGAATGTCTAAGCCTTTTATAAGACACTTAGACTGTGTGCCCACCAAACATTAAGGGACATTAGAACTACAGTTCCTAGCACCCTTAAACTACAGTTCCCATGATTTTTTGGGGGGGAAGTCATGTGCTTTAAATGGATGCTGTTCCTTCAGCCTTACAAGTGTAACAGAATAAGTCTCTATATTCCCATGCTGGAAATGTCTTGGCCAGTGGTGGGAGCTTCTGGGTCTCCAGATGTTAGACTGCCGTTCCCATCATCCTTAACCATTGGCCATATTGGCTGGGGCTGATGGGAGTTGGAGTCCAACAGTACGAGACCTTGTATTGCGAACCATTAAACCGGGTGCCCAATTAATTGCAGCTCCCGTCACAATATATCACAATATCTTTAACTGATTCCCCAGGGCGTCTGCTTGGCCACTGTAAGAACAGGATGTTGGCCTGATGTAGTAAGCTTTTTATACGATCTAACTGGCTGCACGTTTCAGTCCTAACTGACCAATGACGTTTCAGGGGGACATTTGGTTCTCGTTTTCTCTCTCTTCCCATGCTCAGGGGATGCTCCATGCTCTGGCCATGATCCACAAAGAGCATGGCGTGCTGGGACTGTGGCGCGGGTCCCTCTCAGCTGCACCTCGTGTCATGGTTGGCTCTTCTACACAACTTGCTACCTTCTCTTCTTCCAAAGAATTCTTTAGCCGACTTGAGGTAAAGAGGGTGCAGAGATGTAGAGGTGACTGGGCTTTTGTGTGTTACCATAGCAACTGCAACAGCATCCTGGGTTTGGATTGCAATGGTGCTGGTGGGATTTGGGGATCCACTCTGCTCTGATGGATATAGATGCTAGTTGTCGTATAGGCGCAATATAGCAGCCCACACCTGGCAAAGTTAGGTTGGTATGCATCTTTGGTTTATTTTGAACTCACACTCCCTAAGTCAGGTGTGAAGGAACTTTGAGTGCTCCAGATGTTGCTGAACTACAACTCCCATCATCCCTGACCATTGGCCGTTTTTCTGCTGGGGCTGATGGGAAATGTAGTTCACCAACATTTGGAGGGGCAAAGGTTCTTCATAACTGCCCTAAGTAAGTCATGGTGACATTGCTCTTTGCCCTCGCACCTCTGAGCATTCAAGCCCAAATAGTGTATTTCAGAATCTATCCATACAAGTGTGTGTTTTTGTTTGTTTGGTGGTTTTGTTGTACGTATGATGTCAACCTGCTAACCTTTCCTAGAGGGCTTAATTGTGTTTGCACTGTGATTTGCATTACGAGTCGGGCTTGATTTGTGCCAGGAGAGCAGGTTGCAAGTGGATTCTCTATTGTGTTCAGGACGGCTGAGGCCAGGATTGTGTGTGTGCTGCTGCCCATTTTTAAGATAATGAATACATTGGTTCAAATCTTATACCAACCTCCCCCTGCAAACTGAATACATAATGCAGACAAAAGAAATGTGCATCTGTGTGATTGCTTTGTGTCAATTTATTCTACTTTTGCCTGTTGTGGGGAAGAAAAAATGGCTCTGGTGCCAAGGAGCAGAGTAAGATGCTGAAACTCTTCCTCCCTCATCTACTGGAAGTTTTTCTCTGCTTTTGAGATGCCCCCAGATACTTTGCACTTGGTGCTCAGGTCCAAAAGGGTTTGCATGTTTCATTTCAAAATAAAAGCACGTGGTTCTCAGAATGCTCATTCTCTGCTCAGTTTAAATCCCTGAGCTTATGGGCTGCAAACCCATAAAGCATTCAGCTGATGGTTCCTACACTATTCCTGCTTCTAGAGCTCATGACCACATTGGTCAGACCATTAGTCCATGTAGCTCAGCACTGTCTACACCACGGATGGGGAACCTTTTGGTCTTGGTGGGCCAGTTCTTTATATCCCCCTTCCACCCATCACATGGCCAACTTTGGGACCACCCACCTGCTAATAACCTGGCAGCATAGAATCATATAATTATAAAGTTGGAAGTGCCCCCTGGAGGGTCTTCTAGTCAAATCCGCTGCAATGCAAGTATCTCAACCAAAGCATCCGTGACAGATGGCCACCTAAACTCTGCTTCAAAGATTAAAAAGGAGAGTCCATCTCCTCCCAAGGGAGACCATTCCACGGTTGAACTGCTCTTATTATATGATGTCAAGTGATTGACACATGGTGGACCTGCCTAGAGTTGGCCAACATGGTGGAGGAGATAGCGGCTAAGCAGGGCTGAACTATCTGCCCATCAGCAGATGTATGGAGAGCTCAATCCTCCGTACTGCAGGGAGGGACCAGCTGCATGAGCATCCAATCAGCCCACATCTCTACCTGCCACACACCTGTCATCACATATAATGGCAGGTTGGCACAGTTTTGCGGAAATGGCCTGGTGGGCCACATCTGGCCTGGTTGCAGGGTTCCTCACCTCTGGTCTACACTGACTAGCAGTGGGTCACCAGAGTTTTACACAAGTGACTTTCTCAGCCCTGGCTGGAGATGCCAGGGATTGATTCTGGGACCTCCTGCTTCCCAAGAGCTCTGCCTCTGAGCTGTGGCCCTTCCACCTGCTCCTTCTTGATCACTCACTCCATATCCTTCCCATCTCCCATCCCCAGATCTTCCCTAAGGACAGTTGGCTGCTGGCATTGAGTGCTGGAATGACGAGCAGCGTCACTGTGGCTGTCGCCATGACACCCTTTGATGTGGCCAGCACCCGCCTCTACAATCAGCCTGTAGGACCCCGAGGTGAGGTAAGCATGGCTTGGGAGAAACATGGTGAGAAAGCATGAGCTATTGGTGTGTTTTAGCGGCAGGGTGGACAAGGGCGAAGATGGAGACCATGGGAAGGATCCAGGTTAAATTAGTTGCACTTGTGCACCATTGAAATCAGCCTCAGCGCCTCAGCGCCTAGGGCTTGCCGATCGAAAGGTCGGCGGTTCGAATCCCCGCGGCGGGGTGCGCTCCCGTTGCTCAGTCCCAGCGCCTGCCAACCTAGCAGTTCGAAAGCACCCCCGGGTGCAAGTAGATAAATAGGGACCGCTTACTGGCGGGAAGGTAAACGGCGTTTCCGTGTGCTGTGCTGGCTTGCCAGATGCAGCTTGTCACGCTGGCCATGTGACCCGGAAGTGTCTCCGGACAGCGCTGGCCCCCGGCCTATAGAGTGAGATGGGCGCACAACCCCAGAGTCTGGCAAGACTGGCCCGTACGGGCAGGGGTACCTTTACCTTTTACCTTTACCATTGAAATCAGTGGGGCTTAAGTTTGTGTCATGAGTCACCTGTCCCGTTGATTTCAATGGGACCTAAGTGCAACTAACTTGGTCTGGATCCCACCTTGCCCCCAGATCTACTGTTAACTCACCCCACTCATTCTCTGTCCATCTCAGATTTCCCAGTCGATTCCCAGAAGCTGGAAGCTTTCATAAACATTTTAGAATAAGATTACAAATAAGATTTAAAAACTGGATTTTGCTGAAAGTGAAAATCAGTTTGCAGGCCAATCCTATGCATGTTTATTTGGAAGTAAATCCCTCTGTGGGGAAATGTGCATACAGTTACATCTTTTAGGAAGCTGACTGTATCTCAAATCAAATCACTGATACAGTGGTACCTCAGGTTAAGTATTTAATTCGTTCCAGAGGTCCGTACTTAACCTGAAACTGTTCTTAACTTGAAGCACCACTTCAGCTAATGAGGCCTCCTGCTGCTGCCGTGCCGCCGGAGCCTGATTTCTGTTCTCATCCTGAAGCAAAGTTCTTAACCTGAAGCACTATTTCTGGGTTAGCGGAGTCTGTAACCTGAAGCGTATGTAACCCAAGGTACCACTGTATTGTCATCGCTGATTTCCACGGTTTTAGACTGGGGACATTCTTAGCCCCCCACATGAAACCTTCTGCCTGCAAAGCAGATGTTCTACCACTGAGCTGCGACCCTTCCTAAAAAGAATTCACAGCCTATACAGGGATCAAATCCAGAGTTTTGGTGTCATTAGCATGGAGCGCTAACCAATTGAGCAATTCAAACATCCACTCACCAGCCTCTCAAAAATAGTGTGAAAGTTCTCCCCTTCTGAATTTGTAAACCAAATCCATCTGAATTTAGATAAACAAGTTTCTGGTAATCCAGTGTCAAAACTGATTTTGTTTGAAAATCCCCCTTCTGATATTATAAACTACCAATATTTGCCTGTTATCTATACACAATCAATTCCTTCCGTCTCCAGTACTCTCTTTTTGCCTTTAAAAACATCCCTGGCTGTTGTCTTGATCAGTTTCCTGGTGCCCACGGTTTCTTTGCAAGTGCCACTACGGTAACATCCAAACCGTACCTTTAAACCACAAGGCTTCACCCAAAGAATCTCGGGAACTATAGTTTACCCCTCGCAGAGCTACGATTCCAAGCAACTTTAACAAACTACAGTTCCCAAAATCCTTTTTGGAGGGTGGAGGTGGGGGAGAAACCCAATTGATGTTTCCTGCAATTCAGCTGTAAAGATTGGGTTTCTGAAGTCTGAATTGAGACCTCAGTGAGTTTTATAAGAAAGGGGGGAAATAAAAACACAGCTTAATTTTCTTCTCTCTCTCTGCTGCAGGGCTTGATGTACAAGGGCCTTTTTGACTGCCTCTCCAAAATCATCCGTTCGGAAGGTTTCTTTGGGATCTACAAAGGCCTAGGCGCTTCCTATTTCCGTATCGGTCCTCACACCATCCTGAGCCTCCTCTTTTGGGACCAGCTACGCCGGTCCTACAGCAGCTGGACACAGCAGAAGCGATGATGTCAGCTGCGGCGGCCGCTGCCGGCTGCCTACTTGAACTCCCCTCGCATCTGCAAGGCCAGGGTCGTCGTCCTGCGATGTTTCTAACCTTGGCTCCGGGGCCACGGTGAGCATTGCAGCCCATCACGCGGCAGCTGAATTTGCCCGTGATTGTTCTCACCAGCTTGGACCTTTCTCTCTTTCGCTGGCTGCACATTTGGGAAGATGCTTTATATACATACATCTAAATATATATATATACATATATGCCCACAAAACCCTTCCCCAAATAGCAAAGCTTGCGGCCGTAGCTTATCAACCGAGGAGACGATTGTGTGAGGCGAGTGGATGGCGAGCGTGTTTTAGGATTTTGGCACCCAAAGCAGCCCCCTTTCCCCAGGCCAGCCCACCAAGGTGAAGGTAGCCTTCTGTCAGTTGCTTATTACGGTCTGCTAAGTCCATGGCCAGCTGCCCAACAGCCCCAAGCAAGAAGCAATCAAAGAAAGATTTGTGGCTGGCCACGTTTTAGACAAAGAGGCCTGCTGAGCCTCACAAGGCGTTTCCATAGCAACCATTGTAGTAGGTAGGCCTCATAGGCCTCCTGTGTCCATGAGAATCCATTTGCAATAGGCCAGCCCCTGGGTGGCGCTAGAATGCAATATTTCTCCTTCCACTACTCCCAGTCTCAGCTAAAATTAAAATTCAATTGTCGGGAGATGGCAATTCAGGTTACTTTTTGATTCCATCCTCTCAAATCTGAGAAGGTGGGAGAGTGACGGCTGTCCAAAGATGTAGGAGATCCAGGGTTTTATCACGATTGTGACTAAACCACGTTGTATAGCAACAAACCACACAAACGCTAAGAAAAGTGCTTTTACCACAGGTGTGGGAAACCTCTGGCCTGCCAGATGTTGCCGAACCGCAGCTCCCATCATCCCCAGCAAGCATGGCTAATGGCAAGGCAGGGTGTGTAAATCTAGCTCAACTCATGCTCTGATAGCTGCAGCCCCAGGAAGAAGAGGCGGCAAGGTCTTTATTCCAGTTATCATTGGAGTAACATTTATTTGCAATCCATACACATCATTCCTTAAAAATGGACCTATGAATTCCAGTTAGCACTGAGCAATACATATGACTGGGTTTTTAATGCAAGACTAAGAAGTATATCGTTTTTTTATATATTTTCAAAGGATGGTCAGTTACTGCCTTTTCCCAGCATGCCTCTGTGCAACTTGACACCCTAGCACAAGGCAATATATAACCTAAAGAAGTCTGAAAGAACCACCTTAGTTGAAATATCGACAACAACAGGGGGATGAGGATGTGTAGGAGAGAAAAATAAAAGAAACACCTCATGAACATCTGCTTTTGGTCCTCAACCCCAAGAATTTGCTATGTATGACTCTAAAAGCTTATACCCCATATTATAAACATTGGTTGGTCCAAATAAAAGGCATCTTGTATTTTTTAATTGACTCTGAATTTTGTTCTAACGGACTGATACACCAAAACACCCTTGTTGCAGGAAATTTAAAAGGCAGGTTGGAGAAGGTGGTTGATACATTGGCAAACAGGTGCAGCAACCTGGAAGGACAAGTCCAGCTTCCCTCCTTGAACTGGGTGGGGTACATAGTTGGAGCGGAGAGGAATAGACCCCCTTCCAAAGGCAAACGGAAGCATAGCAAGCCAATATCGTCCAAAGGCAGGGGGGAGACCTGAAACCACCTTCTGGGAGCGGAGGTGCCACGAAACCGCCCTCTGCCATGCAAATGTCCTTTGGGCAATCGGAGTCCATGCCCAGAGAGCTGAAGCAGCAGATGGATGATCCAGACATTTAACCAGAAGTAGCCTCCTTAAGAGTCTTCACCCAAACGATTCTGGGATTGCAGAACAGATGGTATGCAGCTGCATCCTGGAGATGTCCTAACCAAAGATGCCGGGGTTGAGGAGCCGCACGCTGCGTACGAAGGTGTGGAAAAGCTCCACTGTCCACGGAGGCTGAGAAGGAGAAGCTGGAACCTCTGTTCCTGGGGCTGCGCTGCTGCTTAGAGGACTGGCACCGGAGGGAAAAAGGGAAGGGGGTGTGTTACTGTAGGAGTACTCCAAATTCTCTCTCTCTCTCTCTCTCTCTCTCTCTCTCACACACACACACACACACACACAGCCAGCCTCTGCCTCTTTACCACCACCTCTGCAAAGTGCCTTTCTGCTGTGCCCGTGTGTTCAAGAAGCAATGCAGAATTCCTCCATGAGGACTGGCACCTTTCCTTTAAGATGTTAAAAAGCCCTGCACCAGGAGCATAGCTGTCAACTTACAGATTTGAAAATAAGGGACCAGCAGCCTCGAAAATAAGGGATCAGCAGCCAAAATAAGGGATTTTCCAGGCACAGGTATGTTCCACTTCTGAGTCCCTCCGAGCCAAAGGCAGAAAGCCCAGCCAGCAGCCAAATGAAGCCTCAAGCGGTGGTTCCCACAGCGCAGCAACCCGGCAAAGGGGATGCAGCAAGGGAAACCACCGTCACCTCTCCGCTGGGAAGCGCTGAGCAAAGGCGAGTCCCCAGGCAACGCGGCTGATTTGATCGGCACAAGGCATGCAAGCTCCACCCCCCAGTCGTTCTTAGACTCCTTATTGGGTGAGCAACGCAGCCAAGCAACACAGTTGGAGCCTCCCTCCTCCCTGGCCGGCAGGGAGGGAGGGAGAGGAGCTGCTTCCTTTGAAACCCGGGAAATTTAAGGGACAGCATCAATAAGGGACAGCAGCTGGACACGGCGCTGGGATAAGGGACTTTCCCGCCAAATAAGGGACGGTTGACAGCTATGACCAGGAGCCTGCCTAGCAGAGCTTTTACTGTATCTGTTTTACAGCAAGGGTGGGGAACTTCAGCCTTCCTTGGAGCCAAATGTTGCCTTCCCAGCCTCTCTTTCTGGCTCTTGAGACTCTTCCCCCGTCACACCCTCCTCGGGTATTTCTGCCCGGCTGGTCAATGCGTCCTTGCTTGCCTGGATGAAGAAGAGGGAGAAGCGAATGTGGTCCTCAGTCTGCAAACAATTCTTCAAGTATACTCACTGGATATAGGTGGGGTTGTTGAAGGTGAGAAGCAGGTCTGTCCCGTACTGGGGCAGGCGCAGCAAGACCAAATGTAGAGTCACTTCGTTCTTGGCCTGTAAGCGAAAAGGGAGTCATCAAAGCCCTTGGGAACTGTTTTCTTGGCCTTCTGTTTTCTGATCACCTAGCATCCTCCCCCCCCTCCAAATGCAAAGACACTACTCAAGAAAATGAGAGTGTTAAAAAAAAAACCACCATGAGAAACGTAGTTTACCCATCACAGAGCTACAATTCCCTGTACCCGTAACAAACTGCAGGTAGAATTGGAAGAGGAATGTTGAAAAGAGAAGGCACTCTCTCCCGGCTTTTAAAAACTGGTCCTTCCAAATCCTAGCCTTCTCTGGCAGTGCTGGGGATTGAACTCAGCCACAAAAATGGGTAACGCCCAAGCAGGGACTTGAACCCTGGACCCTCAGATTAAAAGTCTGATGCTCTACCAACTGAGCTACCTAGGCTCTGGGTGAGGGACAGGGAACCTGTGGCCTTCCAGCTGCTGTTTGGACTCCCATCAGCCACAGCCAGTGTGGCAAGTGAGCAGAGATGGGGGTCTTGCAGTGTCTGGAAGGCCAAAAGTTCCCTATCCCACCTCTAGAGAGAAAGAGAAAGGGGAAAGAGGAAGAAACAAAGTTTGGAGTCCCTCTTCCAAAAAGAGTTCTAAGCAGACATCTTCTGTTTTAGCCATTGAATGTCTGCTGGAATTTTTTCTATGCCATCGAATTTACGTAGGCAATTTAAAAACATAGTTCATCAACTATGTTTTTTTATTGCCTACATAAGTTGGATGGCATAGAAAAAAAATTCAGGAGGCATTTAATTTTAACTTGCTGCGTGCTTTTTATTTATTATATATAAATACTCTTGCTGTAAGCCACTTTGGTTCCCACCCCCTAATGACGAAGCAGGATATATTTTTATAAATAAATAAGCAACCCCTCTGCCCCCCTGAGCAGACCTTGGAGAAAACTTGAGCAATCCTTGGGAGAAAAATTCCCAACCGGGCAACACTGCTAGGGTAATTTATGCATGAATTGGGGTGGGAAACCCCTGTCTCTATTTAAGCCTATATTGATAGAATCAAAGTTCCTGATAAGTTCTATTCAGGCAGCCCTGATACCCACCTCCTCATCAAACTTGGCCACCAGCTGGCGGGCAGTGAGGCCCCAGGCGCTGCTGCAGCCTTCCAGAGCTAGGAGATGGGGAGCAAACGTTTCCTGGCTCAAAATCTCAGCGCTGGCAGAAGCACCAGCTATGTCCTCAAAGTGATATCTGGTTGGAAAAGGAGAAGGGGGAAAGATGTGAACACCAGAGACCAACAGGTGACCTACAGTATCTTATAGGTAAGCAGAGATCAAGCCTCACATTCTATCCAGCATTTCCCAGGCAAAGATTCGGCAAAACTGGAGATGCTGGGGATCGAACCCAGGACCTCATACATGCAAAGCATGCGCTCTCCCACTGAGCTACATCCCCACTTCCTGATCTTGCAGGCTGGAAGCGCTCTCATGGTTTGTTCCATTTGTTCCTCACCTTACACAAGAGAGTCAAGGTGAAATGAAAAATTGCACAGAAACAAACTAAATTGTTAAGTCTTTCATAATATGGCAACAGTGTGTTATTGTCCTTATGGTGTGGAGGGAAGAGTTCTAAGCAGTGACAATCAAAGGGCGATAAAATGCAGAAAGAACAATCCGTAACAATCCGATTAAAGATTAAGCGTACGCAAAGTACCACCCACAATAGCAGCCATTTTGGTAATAACACAGTCATCCTAAGATGGTTAGTACTTATAGTGAGACCATTGTCTCAATTCATGCCCATATTGTGAAAATCAAACTTCCTGTTAAGTTCTATTTCAGCTGTTTCGCAGTGGAGTCTCCCTTTAAAGGTCCTTCACTGGAGAACAGTAATTGAAAACTGGAAGCCTGAAATATTCTTCCACTGGTCCCTGAATGTTAAATGTCCACACCTTTAAACCGGGGGTTTGCTCTTCTTCATTCTGTCTCTTTAGATGTTATCTAGAACAGGAGTGGGGAGCAGGGTGGCTGCCACAGATCAGAAAGGATGCCTGACTCCCAATTGTTTTAAAAGGGCAGGAACAAATGGCAGTGCCCAACTCCACCCACCTTTTTTCAGATTAGGTTGCTCTTGAAAAGAAGAAAGAATAACCAGGAATGGGATTATTCTGTGAAGGGACTGTGAGCTCAGCTCAGTTCTAAGTATTCAAAACAAATCCTGGTGTGTGTCTTTTTAAAGTTACGCCTTATCCACCCAGTTGTTGGATCTTGGGGTTTTTGTAAAAGACTTAGACTTAGCAGAACCTGCAAGCTTGAAGGCATAAAATCATAGAAGTGTGGAGCTGAAAGGAGATTCAAAGGGCCATCTAGTCCAACCACCATCCTCTTTGTACCCCATGTTAAGAACTCTGTGCAAGTCCCCAAATAGTAGGAGGAAAGCCCCTAAAACAAAAGTTGTACTTTTCTATGCCCGTGAGACAAAGACTGTCCACAAACCTAGGACTTTGTCATTGCTAACTGGTTCATTTGTATGCTGCCAACCATTTTGTGTTTTTTTCATACTGCAATCTGGATAATTGGGGGGGGGCGTGCACGTGTCTGGAGAAGACCGTGCTTATAGTTTTCTGTATTTGTAACTGTTTTTTAGGGGGGAACCAGTTTTTTAAAAGGAAAGAATAACATGGAGATGCTGGGGATTGAACCCAGGACCTCATACATGCGAAGCATGCGCTCTACCACTGAGCTACATCCCCTTCCTGATTCTATGAGGCCTCCACCAAAGCATCTATTGTTCAAGGAACTAAATGTGTCTCTGAGAACCCATTGTTGCCAGCTGGGTGAGGAAGGGATCATTCAGCCTCAGGTTACATTAAAACAGGAAGCTAGAAATTAGCATCTGTCTCTTATCAAAGCAGAAGGAGAATATTTATCTATCTGACTGCCTACCTGCCTATCTACCTAGGCAGTGGGACACACCCAGCTACAAACAGATCCAGAAACTCATTTATGCTTGACATTCATTTACCCTCTTAGGTTTCAACAAATCTGGATTCCACCAACTGAATGCAGTGTTTGAAACTCCCATTGTTCTAGGCGCGTTTTGCGACAGGGAATCTCATTAGTGCAAGCAGTTTCTGAGCTCTGGGTGAAGTACTGCGCCCTAAGATTTCAGATTAAAACTGCAGAGTAGAAGGAAAGGAGCTTTTTCCTGCCTTCCCACTTCCAGCTACTCTCTGAAGACTGGAGAAGAGACCCTTTTAAGAATATCAGGAGGGGTGGGCAGGGGAAGGACTAGAGACCATGGGTAGGCAAACTAAGGCCCAGGGGCCGGATCTGGCCCAAGCCTTCTAAATCCAGCCCGTGGACAATCCGGGAATCAGCATGTTTTTACATGAGTAGAATGTGTCCTTTTATTTAAAATGCATCTCTGGGTTATTTGTGGGGCCTGCCTGGTGTTTTTACATGACTAGAATGTGTGCTTTTATTTAAAATGCATCTCTGGGTTATTTGTGGGGCATAGGAATTCATTATTATTTTTTCAAAATATAGTCCAGCCCCCCACAAGGTCTGAGGGACAGTGGACTGGCTCCCTGCTGAAAAAGTTTGCTGACCCCTGGACTAGACCATGTGAAAAATGAACATAGTATTTCAGCTGCAGTTGGTTCATTTTCAGCTTTGTATTCTTGTTATATATAAAAAGTGTGCCTAGACATTCCATTGTTGCACCCATAACCTAGGTTTAAGGTGCCATTTAGCTCCTAGCTTTTATATCTCAGTTTCTAACACTGACTGAATGGTTCACATGAAAGTTCTTGTGCAGTTCCTTCCTTACCGTTTGCCTGCAGAGCAAGGAGTAAAAAGTGGAGATGGAACCTAGAACCGCATACATGAACAGCACTGAGCCACATCCCCTGGCTCCACAGCTGCTGAGTACTCTCTGGTTATTATTATTATAAATTATTAGGTTTATATATTGCCCTTCATCAGAAGATCTCAGGGCAGTTCACAGAGACAAAAGCACAAATAGTTAAAACAAAAACAACTGAACTGTAAACCCCCACCCACCCACAAACACATTTAAAAGGCACTTAAAAGCATTACTGCCTCTGAGCGTGGAGACAGAACGTAGCCTCCAGGATCTGCGGAAGCAGAGAAAGAACCTCCATCCTGGTTGGTGGTGCAATGCATTCAATTTTAGCATTAAGGACCTCTAGGGCAGCTCTAAAGATCACATCTCCTTCCATGTGTTTTAGGCTTTTCTCCCTGCACACGACACATTTAAGGCTGGAGTCCTGCATAGGGACACTTCCCTTGGGGAAAAGCACCCCTGAACGCAGTCTGGCGTACGCCCCGGAAAACCTGCCACGGACCGCATTGTAAATCCTTTCTTAACTCTGCAATTTGAAGGCAGCACATATTTGCTAGAAGCAGTTAAAAATCAGATCACTTTCTGTCCTGTCTTAATGGCCACCACTCCAGGGGTGCAGAGAAAGACAAGGGAACGTTAACTGTGTATGCTTGGGAATAGCCAGGATTTATGTTTGGGGGGGGGGACGGGATGGCGGGGACAGAACACTCACCTGTCATCATCCTCTGCCTCGCTCTGTCTAGCAGATGCAGAATGAAATGTCTCGGAAAAATTACTTTCTTTGGACCCTTTGCTCAGAAAAATCTGTCAAAACCTTTCTACAATTTCTACTTTTAGTTAAGTATTTTTATTTATTTACTTGATTTTCGCTACACCCATGTGTGTATGTGCTAGAGCATTTATTTTTTTAAAAAAATACAGTGGTACCTCGGGTTAAGAACTTAATTTGTTCTGGAGGTCCGTTCTTAACTTGAAATTGTTCTTAACCTGAAGCACCACTTTAGCTACTGGGGCCTCCTGCTGCTGCAGCACGATTTCTGTTCTCATCCTGAAGCAAAGTTCTTAACCCGAGGTACTATTTCTGGGTTAGCGGAGTCTGTAACTTGAAGCGTCTGTAACCCGAGGTACCACTGTAGTGTGTAAGAGTGTCTTCTTTAAAAAAGATGATGATTCCTGTGTTCCAGTCGCACTGGATGCACACGAAGCCACCCGGCAACAGGGAAAAAAGAACCACCCTGGAGATGCTGGGGATTGAACCCAGGACCTCATACATGCGAAGCATGCGCTCTACCACTGAGCTACATCCCCTTCCTTGGTCTGCAGTGTCTCCACTAAAATATCTACCACTAAAGGAAATGAAAGAAAACCTCTGACTACACATTGCTGCCAACTAGGTGAGGAAAGGAAAAAAATGTTTAAAGCTTCGGCTTGCATTAAAAAGGAAACTATAGTTTAAAACCTGTCACTTATCAAAACATACCTATTGTTGCAATCATAGAATTTTAGAGTCATCTAGTCCAACTCCCTGCAATGCAGGTGATGATAGATGATAGATGATAGATGATAGATGATAGATAGATAGATAGATGATAGATAGATAGACAGATAGATGATAGATGTTTGTTTGGGGGGGGGCGTTAAAGGATAGGGAAGAGCCTGGATGATATCTGTGGGTCACTTCCAGGCCTGTGATTCTGTAGCTGGTGAGGTTTGGAATCTAGTAGAAGCAGCTGCTGAACCCGTCAGACCAGTTCCCTTTGTTAGGCTGATCTCCTTAACAGCCCCTCAGTCATTTCCCTTGGACTACTGCAATGCGCTCTACATGGGGCTACCTTTGAAGGTGACCCGGAAACTACAACTAATCCAGAATGCGGCAGCTAGACTGGTGACTGGGAGCAGCTGCCAAGACCATATAACACCAGTTCTGAAAGACCTACATTGGCTCCCAGTACGTTTCCGGGCACAATTCAAAGTATTGGTGCTGACCTTTAAAGCCCGAAATGGACTCGGCCCAGTATACCTGAAGGAGCGTCTCCACCCCCATCATTCTGCCCGGACACTGAGGTCCAGCTCCGGTTCCCTCACTATGAGAAGCAAAGTTACAGGGAACCAGGCAGAGGGCCTTCTCGGTGGAACACCCTCCTACGAGATGTCAAAGACATAAACAACTATTTGACTTTTAGAAGACACCTGAAGGCAGCCCTGTTTAGGGAAGTTTTTAATGTTTGATCTTTTACTGTGTTTTTAATATCCTGTTGGAAGCCACCCAGAATGGTTGGGGAAACCCAGCCAGATGGGCGGGGTATAAATAAATTATTATTATTCCCTGCACAGCAAGGAGTAACAAAAAGTGGAGATGCTGGGGATCGAACCCAGGACCTCATACATGCAAAGCATGCGCTCTACCACTGAGCTACATCCCCTGGCTCATCACCTGCTGACCATTCTCAGGTTGGTTTATCTATGCCACTATGTGGTCACTATTCTCATTATTGGTCTGTTAGGGGCGCTAAGGTGTCGTAAGGATACCCTTCGCAGAGCTAAAATTCCCAGAACCCTCAACAAACCAGCGGTCCCAGGATTCCTTGGGAGGAAGAAACAACAATTAAAACGGCATTAGAGTGCTTTAGATCTATGGTGTGGATGTCACCTATACTTCCCTGCTGGTGGGATGTTTTCACAATCATTCTCTTCTCTCCCCCAGTTCAAATAAATCGCTAGAAAAGCATAAGATGCCACGGACAACCTCCATTTTTGTCCTGCCTTAATAACCATCCAAAAGTGCAGAGAAAAAGCAAGGGAAATGTTTTAGCATTTCCAAAACAGCACGTTAAGAGCAGGGATGGGAAGATCTGTCTATTTCGGATCTTTCGTTTCTTATTTTTCCAGTCTGTTTTTCGTACGCAGTTCTAACGGAAACATTTTTGAGAGCAACTTTCCCTAACGGAATGCATTTCTGTACACAATTCTCTCTACTGCATGGCTCTGTATGCACACACTTTCCCCATATACAGTGGTACCTCGGGTTATATACGCTTCAGGTTACATATGCTTCAGGTTACAGACTCCGCTAACCCAGAAATAGTGCTTCAGGTTAAGAACTTTGCTTCAGGATGAGAACAGAAATCGTGCTTCGGCGGCGTGGCAGCAGCGGGAGGCCCCATTATCTAAAGTGGTGCTTCAGGTTAAGAACAGTTTCAGGTTAAGAATGGACCTCCGGAACGAATTAAGTACTTAACCCGAGGTACCACTGTATATGCATTTTCCATAAACAATGGTTGGTTAGAGAACTGCATCGCAAAGTGCAGAAAAAATGGCTATGTTTCGTTCTCAAATTGTTTCAAATTTGACAAGATGCAGCTTTAAACGCAAAGTGAATCAAACCACACATCCCTAGTAAAGTCTTAAAAAGGGATTTAAAAAAAGGAAAAGCAGCACACTTCAGGAAAGCTGTGCTGAAGAACAGATGTTTCTTCCCTCCTCAAAAAATCTGGAGATGCTGGGGGTTGAACCCAGGACCTCGTACATGCGAAGCACGCGCTCTCCCACTGAGCTACATCCCCTTCTCCTGTCTTTGCTCTGTTACTGCAGGCTAAGAGTGGCCTTGCATGGTGATCTGCCCGACATATTATTGCATTTATTATTGCAAAATTGCTTCGAGACGGTTTCTGGGAAGCGATTCCTGCGTGGAATGAAATAAATAGGCTTCCCTGCTTGTTTTTTGTTTGTATTTTAAACTCATGCAGAACTACATCAGATAAATGCCCAAAGGGAGAAAACGTTTTATGAAGGTCTGGAGGAAGATTTACAAATACAAAACTCATTATTTCCCCCACCCACCCACCAGTGTTGAGAATCAGCCCTCTCTACAGATGATGATAAGAGAGATTTCTCTGAGCAGGTGTGTATTTAAATCTCAGCTGGTCAGTTTAGGATTAGGGTTCTTCATGCAAAACTCTGTTTCACAACAAAAGGACTCCAATTCCCATCACAAACCTGGCAGCATTTTCGTCGGGGACATCTGCCTGGTACTCTAGAAGTTCTACGATGAAGCTCTGATCCGTGCTGGGGTGAACAAAGACTTCCTGGTTATCAGGGACCTGGCGCATTTCACTGGAAGGGGAAAAGTTGGGTCAGATGGGAGAATCAAGTAAGACTGGCCTGACTTTGCTAAGGTTGGGCAGGTGGGCTAAGGTATCAGCACCCTTTATGAGGCTTCCCCATTGCACAGCCTGGACACTGAGGTCCTCCTCCGAGGGTCTTCTGCTGGTTCCCTCACTGCGAGAAGCAAAGTTACAGGGAACCAGGCAGAAGGCCTTCTCGGTAGTGGCACCCGCCCTGTGGATGTCAAGAAGATAAAGAACTGCTCCAACAGAGCCTAATCAGATGGCTCCAAGCAGACCCCAATGATAACAGCCACACTTTGCCACTTCCTCCCAGCACCTGGTAATCTGAGGAATACTGTGCCTGCTCATGGATGCTCCATTTACCATAATCATGACTGATAGCCATTGATAAGCCCATCAAGGCAGAGGGCCTTCTCGGTTGTGGAACACCTTCCTTCAGATGTGAAGGAGATAAAGGACTACACAACATTCAGAAGACATCTGAAAGGCAGCCCTGTATTGGGCAGCTTTTTTATACTTGATGTTTTACTATGAGGCTCCAATACTTTGGCCACCTCATGAGAAGGGAAGACTCCCTGGAAAAGACCCTGATGTTGGGAAAGATGGAGGGCACAAGGAGAAGGGGACGACAGAGGACGAGATGGTTGGACAGTGTTCTCGAAGCTACCAGCATGAGTTTGACCAAACTGCGGGAGGCAGTGGAAGACAGAAGTGCCTGGCGTGCTCTGGTCCATGGGGTCACGAAGAGTCGGACACAACTAAACGACTAAACAACAACAACATCACCCTCTTTTCTTAGCTTAGGGGCAAAGCAAAGGGGAACTCTCTGCTGGAAGAACTTGGGTGTGACGATACCCTCAATCAAACTGCTGCCCCCGGGGCCTGACGTACCTGACATCCAGGCTTCCAGGAGGGAGGAAAGCAGAAAAGGCTCCTCCAAAGAGCAGGTGGCCTTGCGGCTGTGGACCCACCTCATTATCCATGGCCTTCTGCCTGCAAGAAAAGTGGGGGGAAGATTCATGTGAGTGCACTGATTTTTTGGAAAGAATTTGAAGCTGAACATTACAGGTGTCATCACCTCCAATACCCCAGCTTAATTTCTTCAGATAATATTTAATTATTTGATTTCTTACCTGCCCCTCACCACAAGATCCCAGGGCACAGTACAACGATCTTAAAAACCGTTTAAAACAAATCACCGTCACAGGAAGAGGCGAGTCCTAATGTATAACTCAGGCATCCAAGGTCAGGATATAGAGAGGTGCCGCTTCAGCATACGAAGGACAAAAGCTATACGATGACGCAACACACAAGGAAAAGGGGAAAGGGAGGGAAGAGGAAGAAAAATCCAACTCAGACACCAGTACTTAAACATTGTATATGCCAACAGCCACGGATTCACTTCTTACATATTCTTACTCTTTCACACACACAACCTACAGTAGATGCCTACAGAAATGTACACAGGGAAGGGCCATAGTTTGGGCTGAAGGTCTGTGGCTCAGTGGATGAGCATCAGCTTTGAATGCAGAAGGTCCCAGGTTCAATCCCTGGCATTTCCAGGTGAAACCCTGGAAAACTATTGCCAGGCAGTGTAGGCAGCTCTGAGCTAAGTGATGGGACTTGGTAAAGAACACATAGGATGTTCCTAAGAACATGAGGATGGCATCAAGATAAACACGGGTGTGGCCCTTGATTCTGACAGCTTGAAAAGAGAGTTAGACAAATCCATCATGGACAGGTTTTTTTAAACCACTTCTTCAACCTGGGGTACCCAGATGTTGCTGAACTACAACTCCAATCACCACCAATTAGCCATTGGCTAAGCAAACATCTGGAGATCCAAGGTTGAAGAGTCACCCTTGGGACGCGGGTGGCACTGTGGTCTAAACCACAGAGCCTAGGGCTTGCCAATCAGAAGATCGGCGGTTCGAATCCCAGTGACGGGGTGAGCTCCCGTTGCTTGGTCCCTGCTCCTGCCAACCTAGCAGTTCAAAAGCATGTCAGAGTGCAAGTAGATAAATAGGTACCGTTTCCGTGCGCTGCACTGGTTCGCCAGAAGTGGCTTAGTCATGCTGGCCACATGACCCGGAAGCTGTACGCTGGCTCCCTCGGCCAATAAAGCGAGATGAGTGCCGCAACCCCAAAGTCGGCCACGACTGGACCTAATGGTCAGGGGTCCCTTTACCCTTTACCGTAAGCAAACATCTGGAGATCCAAGGTTGAAGAGTTAATAGACCCTCTAGGTTCAGAAGGAGGGTACCCCTGAATCTGGAGGGTCTACAGTATTAACTAGTAGCTTATTGATCCTCCAAAACAGGGATGGCCAATGTGGTGCCCTCCCAGAGCTTGTGAGACTACAACTCCCATCATCCCTGACAATTGGCCACACTGGCTGGGGCTGGCAGAGCTGGAACTGAACGATGTGGCAGGCACCACTCTAGCTACTCCTGAAAGGCGGTGGGAGGGCTGTTGCTTTTAATCGTGTCCAGCATCATCTGACCACCCCCAGCTGGAAACAGGAGACTGGGGCTAGATGGCCTTTTGGCCTGATCTAGAAGGGCAGTGCTTATATCAAACGGGAGAAGAGATGGGCAAGGCGGGCCGATGGGGACAAACGACGAAGAGTCCAGTGGCACATGGAAGAGAGACGACTTTAATAGGGCGCAAGCTTCCGTGGACCACAGGTCGCTTCGTAGCTACGTCATGGAAAAGAGGGAATTACTGGAAATCTGCACGGGGGGTGGGAAAGAAGTAATTCATTTTATTATTTTTAAGGCTCCCTGCTTGATTATTGGGATGCCCCACTCTCCCTCGGCCAGGCTCACCTTTGAGTCACGTTCGTTTCAAGGGCTCCGGCTGCTGCTTCCCCTTTAAATCGTACGCCGCGAATGAATTGCCCGCCCAAAGGCGGAAGGGTTTCTCAGGCAAACCAACCAATCAGAAACTACGGGTTGGACTCTGCCGCGCCTTCGCTCCGTGCATTCGATTGTGACGTCCGCAGAAGGTGGTGTGACCGACATGCGCCTCGTCCAATTGCGTAGGTCGATGTAGCCGACTGGTTTCGAGCGACTGGCTCTAGCAATCTAAGCCCCGCCTAACTCCAGTGACGCTCTGATAGGCGGTGAATGATACGCGTAGCAGCGAATGAATGAGCTTCCCCTTGTACCTGCCTGAGAAGCGCTCTGTGTGACTCAGAAGCTGACACATTTCCTGCCCAATCCTATCTCTTACGATACTTTCCCCTTTTTTACTATTTCATTTAAAAATTATTAACATTGATAAAACTGTGGCTGCAACGCTCTACCCTTTTACCTGGATCAATGGGACTAACTTCTGAGTAGTCACATAGAGGATTGCTCTGGGTATTTAACGGGGAAGCGATTACTTTGATGTGTTAAACATAATTCTATATCGTAGAATCATATCCATGATTATAAATCTAGGAATAATTTCATTTCCATTTCATTCACCACCCCCACTCCAGTAGCTACGCACAATGTGGCTTCTTTGGTTTAACTTTAACTGAATGGCTTTGGGGTGATTTTTTTTTTTTTAATGCCAGGGCTACTGCACCTTTAACAGTCATGCAGAAGCTGGAATTAGTAAATGTAGCATGTCACCTGTTGGAATTCCTTCTTCTGGACAACTATTAAAGAAGCCGGTTCCCTGCCCTTATTTCTTTTTCTTTCTTGTTTTTCCACCTGGCCCCTGTAATTTTTATTGTGACGGGTCATTTAATTTTTAAATTGTTGCTGTTTTAAAGACGCTATGTGTTGTTGCTATTTTTACGCACTGGTTTTATATTATAAACCAGGCTGCAATTATAAGCTGAAGCACAGTTGAAAAGCACCATACAGTACATAAATCAATTAATATTTATTGCATGTGATATATAGAAGTGTCAAGCCGGAGCTGCTTTTTTGCCATCACAGAGATAACAAAACTGCACCTGTTGGATGTCTGACTGTCTTGCCACTATTCAAGCCACAGAGCTGATGCCTGCTAATACTACCCAAATATTTTTAAGCATCTTACTGATTTATTGCAGCAATTTATATGCTGCTTAACACCATAGTACAGTAAAGTTTAAAAGCTACAATAAAGATAAAATCAGTTAGAAGTACTGTAAACTTTTTTTGACATTACTGTTTTATCTTCTGTAAGCCAACTTCTTTTCCTCATAAGCGCTCCCATGCATTTAATAGACAGAAATTCAGCAGCAGAAGCTTTTCCTGGAGCTGCATCTCAATGCAGGGGGAAAGCTTTACCTGCTGAATTCCTGTCTGTGAAAGGCACAGGGCAGGAGGTTCCCCAGGGAGAGGGAAAAGAAGAGGTCGCAAGCCTACAAGCAGAAGTTTTGTAAATTCCTGAAGAATAAAAGAAGTAGAGAAGGCAATTACTACTTTTACCACTTAAAGCCAAAATAGACATCTAAGCTGTTCGCGAGGTGTAAAACCCAATTACACAACATGTAAAAATGTAAATCCGTACAGATCTCCTCTTGATTCACAGCATGCTGTTAGTCCATTTAGCTCAAAAGGGATGAAATTAGGACAACCTCCCTAACAGCTCCTGATGGGGTGACTAGGAGCAGGTGAGAAACACTGTTTGGAACCAGGAAGCAATATAAAGTGCTCTCATCATTTGCAAGTGAGAGGCAACTTGGGTGGGAGGCTGCTAGGGGAAACTCTCAGGGGAGAGAGAGAGTAATAGAATCATGTCTTCCCCATCTTTTGCAGGGTAAGTCAATTTTATTTTTCTTAGTGCGTCTTTGGGCCTGGGGGGCAGTGTTGTTTGTTTTCTGTAAGAGAGGTCTTCATCGTAAAAAAAAAATCAGGTTCTGTTCTAGATTAGAAAGGTTATGTAAATAATTATCTGGTGTAACAGCATTTTGCCCTACCGGTACTTGATCGGTAGGGAGAGGACAGTTAGTGAAGTGGAGGGTCTTCTAAAACTCCCAAACTTTTTATGCTCAATCTAGTCTTTTAACTGCCTAACTAGGGGAGAGTTCCTGTCCCCCTGGAATTTGTGGGTGCTATAGTATAGTGGCTATCATGCCTGTTTTACATGTGGGTTTGGGGTGTGAGCCCAATGGAAGCCAGTTTCATTTTATGAGGAAAGGGTAGAGCATCAGTTCCTGGCACCTCCAGGTAGGTTTAGGAGAGACTCCTACCTGAAACCCGGGAGAGCTGCTGCCAGTCAGAGTGGACGCTACAGAGCTGGATGGACCAAGGTTTTGACTCTGCATAAGGCAGCTTCGGGACGCGGGTGGCGCTGTGGGTTAACCCGCAGAGCCTAGGACTTGCCGATCAGAAGGTCGGTGGTTCAAATCCCCTGCGATGGGGTGAGCTCCCATTGCTCGGTCTCTGCTCCTGCCAACCTAGCAGTTCAAAAGCACATCAAAGTGCAAGTAGATAAATAGGTACCGCTCCGGCGGGAAGGTAAACGGCGTTTCCGTGCGCTGAATAGGTGCCACTCTGGCGGGAAGGTAAACGGTGTTTCCGTGCGCTGCTCTGGTTCGTCAGAAGCAGCTTAGTTAACATGACCCGGAAGCTGTACGCCGGCTCCCTCGGCCAATAAAGCGAGATGAGCGCCGCAGCCCCAGAGTCGGCCACGACTGGACCTAATGGTCAGGGGTCCCTTTACCTTTACTTTACTGCAGCTTCATGTGTTTCCTATGGAGTTTGAAAATCTGCTTACTTGACCCCCAAAGTTTTCTAGTTCCTCCTTGGAGACAGCCATACTTGTTAAGTAAACAATCACGTCACTTAATCGATGTGGGGTTGTTGTGGGGAGAGAGAGAGAACAGGTCTGTAATAAACAGGTTGTACTGTGGATCAGAGCATTCTTGCGCTGCATTTCCTAGTCATAGAATCTTACAACTGTAGAGCTGGAAGGGACCAGGAGGGTCATCTAGTTCAACCCCCTGCCATGCAGAAATCTTTTGCCCAATGGTCAACATCCTGAGACCCCGTGCATGCTCAGTGCCTGTTGGGTTGTTATTAGGTGTTTTCCCCTTAACTCTCTCTCTCTCTCTATACTGTATATATACCTGAGAGAGAGAGAGAGAGAGAGAGAGAGAATGAATTTCTGGAAACCTTAAGGTAAGGTTGCCATATTTCAAAAACTGAAAATCCAGACACAATAGTTGAGCTTTTTTTAGCCAAAGTTGTTGAGTTTTGGGGGTTTTTTTTTGGAAAATTGCAAAAAACAAACAAAAAAGATGTTTCTGAGCTATTTTTAAGGAAAACCAGCAAAAACAACATTGCTGACATGGGTTGCCATACGTCCTGATTTGCTCAGACATTTTGCCGATTTCTGCCCGGACACTGCTTCCAACTACAGTATTCCGTGTATGTATGGGAATTTCTGGAAGTATGGCAACCCCATGTCGGTGTAGACAACACTGAGCTAGCTGCACCAATGGTCTGACTCAGTATAAGAAATGCACGTAACAATCATTTTATTCAGCAAAGCTGAAATCATGAAATATACCCTTCTACTGACATGCACACTTGTCATATGACTTCAGCTGACTGTCTTGGAGAGGGCTTTTCATTATGAGGCGGGCGTGTTCTCTAATTGTTTAGCAGCTTTAAAAATAGAAATAACACAGGAAATTCAGAGTGCATGTGAAGACTTGTATTTGCAATACAAAGAGGGGCTTCTGCAAATCGCATTTCAAGCTGTACACTTCATAAAGGCAATAAAAGAAGCCACTGAGACTGCAAATCTATATTCATTTGGGAATTATTCCTACTGAACTCAGTTTCTTGTATTTATATCCCGTATGTACATGGTTCTCTATTTCCCTCCCTGCCCTTTCTAACTCCTGCCATCACAGCTGACTCTCTCAATGGGATTTTATTCTAAGGCTATGTACACACAATAACTTTAAAGCACATTACTTTCCTCAAAGAATTGTGAGCACTGTAGTTAGCCTCTTAGTATTGCAATTCCCAACAAACTGCAGTGCTCAGAATTATTTGAGAGAAATGGGCTTCAAATGGGCTTTAAAGGTGTAGCGTGTACAAACTTGGGGCTCTGATGTTAGCCCAGGTCTTGAAATTTCAAAATGTTGCTTACAGTCTTTCTCTTCTTTGAGATTTGGACACCTGGCATTTTCAATACTGTGCTCAACTCTTCCTCTAGAGAAGGAACATTAGAAATACTGTAAACTGTTGGGTGGTTTTTTTTTTTAAAAGGTTTCTTTCTTCAAGCTTGAATGCCTTTTTGAACCTGAAACCTGAAAGTTTCCCAGCCTGAGGTGTGATTTTTGCTTTGGACTACAACTCCCATCAGCCACAAGCAGCAGTATGGCTGCAGCTGATGGAACTTGTAGTCCAAAACATCAACATCTGCAAGACACCAGGTTGGAAGAAGTCAGTTTTATAGGATTTTGTCCTCTTCCCTTCTGCTGTCCTTCACCCCAGAATTGGCCCTACTAAACATCTTCCAAGACAATAATGCCCATTTACAGCACAAAGAACTCATAACCCACCTACTTTCAGCAGCCAGAAACATCATAACCAGCCACTGGAAAGACCTGTCAGGAGTAAGCGTAGATCAATGGTATCAAATAGTATGGGAAACAGCCTTACTAGAAAAATTAACCAATAAACTGAAACTGACACGGGGACAAATAGAAGAAGACGCCTTCACCCCGGTATGGCTCCCCTTTATCACATACACAGCACAACAAGACAATGATAACAACTACCGGACATTCGGAAGACATCTGAAGGCAGCCCTCTTCAGCGAAGTTTTTAATGTGTGACATTTTTGTATACTTTTGGTCTTTGTTGGAAGCCGCCCAGAGTGGTTGGGGAAACCCAGCCAGATGGGCGGGGTACAAATAATAAATTATTATCAATATGGCTAACCTGATCCAAAACACCCACCCACCCCAATCACACATGATGATCACCACAGCCAATCACAAATGAACAACC